AAGAGTAAAGGAGACAGCACGCCACCTTGAGTTACACCGGCAGTGAGTGGAGACCAATCCGATGAAGCATCATTGGCTCTGACACACTGCTGACGACCGAAAAGATAGGAAGAAAACCATTCAATAGCAGGAGAGGATACGTTTACTACACGGAGCATGGCAAGCAAAATGTCAAAATCTACTGAGTTAAAAGCGTTAGTAAAGTCAAGAAGAACAATAGCTGTGAGATTAGTGTCATCCATGGCACGCCGAATGTCCTCAAATATTAAGTAGTGCTCCAGTCTGCTATGGGATGGACGGAAACCTGATTGGAAAGGGCATTACAGGTGATTGGCAGTGAGATACTGATGTAATTGATGGTGAACTACTGATTCAAGGACCTTAGAGAGAATGGGGAGAATGGATATGGGACGGAATTGGGAGAAGCTGGTCGGATTCAGAGTTTTGGGAAGTGGAATAATAAAGGCCTTTTTCCACTGTGTCGGGAAAACATTGCATTTCAGTGAGTAGTTTATAATGTGTGTGATTACGGGCAATATCTCATCCAACACCGGCAGAATCATATCGAGGCTTAAGTTGTCACTGCCAATGGCTTTGGTAGATATGGAACAGATAATTTTTCTGACAGCATCTGTAGACACTATACGGAAAGTAAATGAAGGGCAATCAGGCACTTCGGCATCAGAAAGATATGAAAGAGAGTTGGCCCTAGCAGAATTACTTAAAGAAGAGGGAGGAGTAGAAAAGTGATTATTTAAACCATTAAGGTCTTATTAAGAGATTGACTAGAGGATTTGCCTATGCCTAAAGATTGCAGAAATTTTTGCGGTTGGGAGAGGTTTTGAATGGTAAAATGGATATAGTGGCGTTTGGCATCCCTACACATTCTGTTGCAGATGTTACGTAGTTTCTTATAAGCCTCAAAATTAACCTGAGACCTGTCGCGCTTATACCGATTTGCCCTATCACGCTTAGCCATAGCTCTTCTAATTACTGGGGATAACCAGGGAGCTGGTGGATGCCTAATACGAACAGGACGAATTGGAGCATGAGTATCGTACAGTTTTAGTAATTCCAGATTTAGGATATCCACCATTACGTCAACGCTATCAGCAGAGAGCAAACTCGACCAATCGATGCGCCCCACATCCTCTCTCAAACGACCCAGATCCATACACCGAAAATCACGAAGCAGACGAACCTTGTTTAGTCTTAGGAGGGCGTACCCTATTTATGAAAGATATACTAGATCATGGTGAGAAATCACATTTGCCCCTGAGAAATGGCCATATTAGGATGAGAAACAATTGTGAGATCAATAAGGGAAGGTTTACTATTAGGGAAATAATGTGTCGGATTTGGCAATGTGAGTATTTGAAGATTTAGCGCAGTAGTTAAAGTCTTAAGTTTACTAGCTCTGTTGTCATTCCTCAACATACAAGTATTTAAATCTCCCATAAGAACGACATGATCATACTGAGTTACTAAATTTTCCAGTATATGTTCTAAGGTGCCAAAGTAATCAGTTTTGTTGGAAGGACAATACAAAACACCAAGTAGAATCTTTTTATGGTGAATCTTCAAAGAAAGAAACAAGTATTCGAGAGAACCAATATATCCTGGCTGAGATGCACAAACCACATCCGCAGCAATGTGATCGCGAAGATAGATCCCCACTCCACCTCCGCCTGTAAGAATCCGATCGTTGCGAAAGAGTTTGTATCCCGGAATGGCACAACTGACAGATGGTAGAGAGGGCTTCAACCATGTTTCGGATACAAGTATACAATCAACTATGCCAGCGCTGAAGGATGTGAGAATATCAGGGTAATGAGCTATAATACTCTGAGCGTTAATATGCACTAGGGAAAGGAATTTGGAATGGTCAGTAAAAGCAATAAGCAATTTATTTTCAAGAGGGTCACCATCAGATAACGAAGAGTAGAAGCAGTATTAAAATCATCAGAGGAAGAACAAGAAAAATAATCATCTTGTATATTCATAAATACTTGTTAAATGTATAAAAATAACAATATATTAATAAATAAATATTAGTAAATCTATATTATCGCACTAAATATATCCTATATAAAATATTAAAAAAAAAACAATAATAAAAAAATGCTTAATTTCTGCTTAGGTTGACGCAACGAGTCAAGTTCATACTTACTACAAAAATATCACACACAAAAAAAATATATCAAAAAAAAAGAAACATAACAATCATCAAACATTTACAAAATTGAGAATAGTGGGTACGGAATCCAGAACTGCAATAACTAAACGCAACACTGTAATTGTATTTGTAACTGTCAATTGTCAGTGGCTACTGACAATTGACAGCTCACACAAGTAACATTTTAAACAAAAAGACGGTTTACAAAATTGGTATCTTAAAAAAAATTTAAATTACCCTCAGTCAGATTATTTAAGTGAGAGAAAAAAAAATTATGAATGTGATAAACAAATAACTTTGTATACAAAATCTGGATCGTAGAATATTTCAAACTAATATCAATCAAATTATTTAAGAGAGAAAAAACAAAATATGAATGTGATAAATACATATACATGTTCAGTGTTACTATGCTATAAGAGATATACAAACAAAAAAAAAACAGTACCCACAGTTTTTAATTCCCCACACTCTAAAAAGTACCTCACACAGTGTATACAAAAAAAAAAAAAACAGTATTTTATATAAGGTAATGTTACTGTAAAAATTTAAGTTTGTGAAGCTAGACTGTACAAACATTTTGCCAACAGAGTTATACAGCATTAGTCGCGAGATTCTTGGGATATAAAGAGATCATATGCTGCAACTCAGACATTGAAGCAATTTTCTTACGATTTTTATTAGGAAGAAGGATTACTACAATACCATCGGAAGACCAGCACTTCTTCATCCCAAAGTGATTTCGAGCTGCAACGAAGACCTCTTGCCGTTTTTTAAAAATTCTGAAACGCTTACTTTGGAACCTTTTAATGTGGTTTTGGCCTTCCATACAGATCGAAGATGCGTTGAAGAAAATCGGACGAGAATTGGTCGGGCTGTCTCCTTCTTGAGACCCAATCTGTGACAGGTTTCTATAGCTTCGGGACTCACACCACTCAATTTCATGCGATCAGATAGGAGTGCTAAAAGCTTACTACGTGTATTCTCATCATCTTCCTCCTTGATTCCGTGGAAGAGCAAGACTTTCCTACGTGAGTGAAATCGATCCAAACCCAGCAAAAAGCTCAACCTGCGACTTGATCATTCCCAATGACTTCCATATGAAGCTTTTAAATGATGCGTAATCTGCAGCCAAAGTTTTCACTGTGGTTCCCGAAGAAGCAGATCCATGCTGCTGGCACCCTTTCTCATACTCCTCCATCCTACCCTTGAACATAGAGGCTAGATCGTTAATGCTCTTCATAAGCTGCTCTGCTGTAGTATCCATGGTGACGTAAGTTTTTTCTAATAGTAAACGGCACTGACAAAGGCGAAACCATTACATCGGCGCTCGTTTATTTCAAACTTCTTAGTTGACTTCAGAAAGGAGGTCCTTGAGTTGTCTGTATTTTTTTTTTTCATTTTGTATTTGAAGGCATCGTTTGTCTTTGAAGAAGGACCGCAGGTTATCCTTAATCTATTGCGGAACAACATCCGGGGAGTCTACCATGAAACGAAACTCGGAATTTCCGGACTCAATTTCGTATATACCGAAATCGACCCAGTAAATGGAGCTTGCCGTTTTATTTGTCATAAATCCTACCATAAAAGACCAAAGGAACGATATTTTAACTTTTTTAATAGTTTATGAACGATATGTATTATGTAATTTTAAAGTCAAATTTGTATTGCATTAGATCTATTTCGGAAAATATTCCTCGGTAGGTCCTCTTATACTTTAACCAAAAAATACCTGGCTTGTTGTACGCCATAGATTAAGAATGGTCTATTCGTGTTCCTTTGTATATGTACCTATATAATTCCGCGTTCTATATTCAATTTTTTTGTTTATTTAAACATTCTTCGAATTATTTTTCTGGTTATTCTTGCATTCTATTAATTTTGAATTAGGAAACGTTTATTTTAGGAGTTGATAATATAAAAATACAAACAAAAAATACAACGCTAACTCCTCTATTCAATTAGGGTTGTCACATAATTAATTTTAAAATTTTGCGATGTTTAGACATATTTTAAATACACTACCGGAACTTAACGCGATAAAAAAATTGCAAGTAAATAGTACCTACATACCTGCTTCTTTATTGCCAACGAATCGACGTGTATTACACTACATCGTGATCCTATCGTGACCAAAATTTTCCATCGCCTTAAGTCCCAATAGTGCATTGAAAATAAGTTTCACATAATCACACTAATTACCTGATCCTCAAGTTAGGATAACGTCTGTTAAAAGGAATCGGGCAACAAAAATCTGGAGGGCACAACCACCATTGACGCGACCAGGAATCGAATCCGCGATCTTATTTACGCAAAGTAACCACTACACCATCGAGTATAATAATTACGTCCCGTACGTACATGTGAAACTAGTGCTCATAGTAGCTCGTTTGTTTTGGAGCTTTGGGGTGGAACACTTGTGCTTATCTTAGTAATTATGAATGTAAAGTTATAATAGAGTCAAGGACTATCTATCTATCCTATTTAAGAGCTGCGCTCTTGTCGGTGGAGCTCTTGCCACTCGCTACGATTTTCAGCGAGTCTCTTCACCTCTTGATACGACACGACACCAACTCCTTCCTTGATCTGCCTGATGTAACTATGTCTCGGTCTCCCTCTCCCCCTCCTTCCTTCTATCTTACCTTCTATTATAATGTTCATAAGTTCGTCGTGTCGTATCAAGTGTCCCAACATTTTGAGTTAAGGACTAAATCATCTAATTTAATGTTTTAATCATGTAGAATTGTTATTTAGTTAATAAATTAGTTCTTTAAAGACTCTTGTCTCTTGTATCTAATACTCTCAAAATTATCTTTTCTTACAGTCTCTGATAAAACAGCAAGGAAAGCCTTCTGGGTGGCTATAATAGTGAACCTGACAAGAGAATTCTGCGGATGCATCGCCGTACTGGTGTACGCGAGCCATATATTTGCGGAAGCGGGCAAAAATCACAACACCAGTATCGCCCTATCGCCGAACAAGCAATCGATTCTGCTCGCTGCGGTCCAAATAATGGGGTCGTTTTTGGCTTGTCAACTCGTGGACAGAGCTGGGAGGAAGGTAAATATTGATGTAAACCCTTATTAGAATTATTGAACACCATTTCCGTCCGATAGATTTTTATTGAAAGTGAAAACGGAATCATTAGTATCGTGGTATAGTATTTCCTGTTTTTTTTTTTAATACATCAATAATTTATTTGCACCGATGAAAATAAATATTTATGGGATAAGAACATAGATTGATAAGGATGAGAAATTTTGTGCTTCCCATATTACCACGGTGCATCTATTTACCTCAGATTATGTAAACAGAGTATTTCCATAGAAATGCTTCGCCAAAATCAGGTCGACTTGTTTTGCCATGTGTATGTACATTTATTACTCAGTATGTAGGAGAAATCATATTGTAAGGTAAAATTAAAAAAATTAAAATAGTTTATTTTAATTAAATCTTATTTAATTATATTTGAAAGAACTAGTTAAATAGTCCATAATGATCCATAATGACGCTTATCTTTTTAGAAGAACGCTTATAGTTTTTACTTAGTTTTAACCGACATAGCCCGAAGTATAAGTAAGCTGAAGTGGCAATGAGCTGATCACATAGCTCGAAGAACCGACAACCGATGGGGAAGAAAGGTTCTTGATTGACGACAAGCAAACGCAGAGTAGGATGACCTCCCACTAGATGGAGTGACGACCATTGCAGGGAGTCAGTGGATGCAGATGGCTCAGAATCGTTCCTTACGGCGGTCTATACGGAAGACCAGAGGGAGACTGTACAAAAGTCGTTTGTTTGGGTACCTCTGTCCTATTCTTGTTTCTACCGTAAAGCAGTTGTGTTTACACGGCTGTGTTTCGGTTTGAACAGTGGGAAACAGTATACTCTGTTATGTCCATGGTACTGCTCATGTCTATAGGTGACGATTACAACTTTCCATCAAGTGGTCCGTCAGCTTGTTTGCCATTTTATTTATTTATTTATTCATTAGTACAAATATGTGTACATGGCGGACTTAATGCTAAAAGCTATCTCTCCCAGTCAACCACAGGGTAGTGTCAGAATACTCGAATGCGGTACTACTAATTATTGCTATACATACATACTAAAATTACATATAAACGAATAAATATATATAAATAACAAATATACTTACACATATATGATATATACTATATTATACACGAAATTGAAAATAGTATAAAGCACTTACTGCTCGGAAGAAAAAAGTGAGCGTGAACTTTTTTTTGAAAGACGGTTTAGTCGGTAGTTTCTTAATGGCATCCGGAAGCACGTTCCAGAGTCGTGAAGAATGTAGGAGTAAAGAGTTTGAAGCGTAGCCAGTACGGTGAGAGGGTATTATTATAGTATAAGTTGTATAAAAAAAAGACCTATGTCCAGCAGTGGACAGATAATGGCTGAAATGATGGTGATGATGAATATATTCTATAGCATGTGTAGTGTAGTAGATTCTTTGTTTTATGCACGGCTAACGAATTTAATTTAAAATACTTGGCCACACATTTATAATACTAAGTGTTTATTCTACAGCCTCTTCTATCAGTCACGAGCATCGTGGCAGGATTCAGCATGTGCTTGCTAGGAATATGGTTCTACCTGCAAAGCGTTCAAATCTTCATGCCAGGATGGATACCCATTGCTGCGATGTGCACGTGTATATTCGCTGACGCATCAGGCCTTCAGCCGTTACCGTTCGTTATTATGACGGAAATGTTCAATTTTCAGGTAATTTCTTTATTATTTTAGCTAAAATAATTTTATTATATTTTTTTATTTAGAAATATCAACATTAATTACTATATTTTGGTAAGGGTGTTACTTAGCAATATTACAATTGTACATGGAAGATTTAAAATATTTAATATATATATTACATATAAGGGGTCTTAATAAGATCAATAGAGAAGCCGAAACAATATTTTTTTGAAATTATGTCTGTCAATATATTTGTTCTGGCATCACGTGAAAACTTCTGCACCGACTTAGATGTGGTTGCCACAGTTATGTTCCTGAAGATCTGGCTTAAAATCTAATTCATAAATTCAGGTATAAAATGAGCTATCCCTTCCTTTCTCGTAGGTATCGTAAGAGGTGACTAAGTTAATGGTCAAGAAATAGGCAGCAACTAAAACGTCACCAGAAGCCTAACTACAATTTTCAATCTGCCTGCCAAGCGTGAAAACTACTGACAATCCCTCCCCTCCTTAAAATAGGGAGAGGTCTATGTTCAGCAGTGGATAGTTGAAATGCTACAACCGCAGATAGGCTTTTGGTGATGTTTTAAGAGAGATTCTGCTGGCCATCTCTCGACTATAAGTTACCTTTTTCAATACATCTGTACCAAAAAAATTAACTATAGCTTTTAGGAAAAACATGAATGAATGAAAAATTTTACAACCTCCGTGGTGCAGTGGTGAGCACAGTGCTTTGCGCAAATGAGGTACCTGGTCCAATTCCCGGTTTCCCCATTGAAAGAATGGAACTTTTCTAAATTGACTCCTGTCTGGGTGTTCTGGGCTGTGTTCCCGGATGTTCATTGTCTAGTTCTTGAAAACAGGGTATTTATTTATCTATTTAAACTTGAATGCACAATTATATAAGTAAACGTACATTTGGCGAACTTAACACCTTGACATTCTTTACCAGTCAACCATGAGGCAAGCAGAAAATGAAGTAGACGGTGCATTTACTACTAAAATATGTATATATATTAGATATCCTAGTTAAGAGCTAAGCGATTGATATGATCATGCACCATTCATTTATTTAATCATCACTTTCACAGCTTCGCGGTACAGTGGCAACACTCATCATGGCGATCTCCTTAGGAACTGACTTCGCACTGCTCAAATTGTTTGCACCGCTAAACAGCTGGATCGGCTACCATTACACTTTCTGGATATTCAGTTTTATATGTCTGGCAAATATCTTTTACCTATATTTCTACGTGCCAGAGACAAAGATGAGGAGTTTAGAAGATATTTATGCTGATTTGGAAGGAAGAAATAAAAAGAAAAATATAGATAACGTAATAGAAACCAATCATGTTTGAATTTGGTTAAATTAGGGACATTTAGAAATAAATTTGTACAAAAGTTCATTTTACCATTCCGAATATAAAATTATATTAGGAATATAGTAAAATATATTAATACTCTATGCATGATGCTAATCCTGAAATAAAACTTACGGATTTAATAAAATATTTTAACCACCATTAATATGAATTACAATTTATACCAGAGGTAGACTTTGTACAAAAAACTTTGTCGTTCGCTCGGGCACCTCTGTCCTATTCGTGTTTCTACTGTGAAGCAGTTGTGTTGCATGGCTGTGTTTCAGTTCGAAGAGTGGGATATGGCAGTGAATTTACGGGGTACAGAGGAATAACACGTGAGTCCTCAGGAATGACAACGCATGTAGGGTATCATGGGCGAAACAGCATACTCTGTTATGTCTATGGTACTGTTCATATCTATAGGTGACGGTTACCGCTTTCCATCAGGTGGGCTGTCAGCTTGTTTGCCATTCTAAGTTGAATAAAAAAAATATTAAAACGATATGGACTACAAAAATCTCATTCAATACGGTTTTATTACAGCAAAAACAGCTGAAATATCAGCTGTCACTTGTTTCACTGGCGCAGAATAATGCCTATACAATTTTGTAACGCCAAATGAATGAAATAAGAATATATACATAATAAGTAGGAAATTTTAGGTTATCAAATTGAAGATATGTACCGACAAATAATTATTTCACAATTTTGGTACCATTTCTTTTTTATAATACTAGATACTTTATAAGACCACATGATGTACATACTCGATAAAAATTTTACGTACAAAAACTTCATTGTCCAAACTTCGATCATTAATCATCACAAAATTTTTTGTTTATGGTAGTTCGTTTTTCGCCACGAACTGTATCTAAGTAAAATTATAATATCGATGTTTATAAGTACAGTTAAATCTAAAAATAGATTTTATATTAAATGGATATTTATTTAAATCTAGTCAAAAAAAAAAACAAGTAAAATCCCAGGCCTTCCTTTGCATTTGTTATGACAAATGAGATATATGTGACAGAAGGTATAAAATTAATTAATCTAAAATCAATTTCTTTAAAAAAATCCTATTTAAAGACTATGCTAATTGAAAGAGGCTACATTAAATGTACAGAGGGGAGGGAAAGGGAGTTTGTACGTTTGTCTATACACAGTAATGTTCATACATAGAGTATATAGATAGAATGTCTCCACAGAAATGATTCGAGAAAAATGGGTCTACTTTTTCATACGCATTTTACATTGTTTTCAACATTTTACGTGATAAACAGTTGAGTTTTTTCTTTATAACTTCTATGTTTATTTTGTTTTATATTTTGCATCTTTTTAATGCGTAAAAACTCGTTTTATTTATTGAGTAATTAAATATAGATACGTCAAGATAAATTGTGTAAGCAAGTATATAGAACACTAATAAAAAAAGTCAGCTAATTTGACAATTAGCTGACACAAAATTAACGGGTTTTTGAGGCTCTATCTATATAATCTAAGTATTTATAGTACTTAACAAGTACTGAACCATATTTATCGGAAATCTAATATTTATAATTCATAGTTACTGTGTCATATTTTTTAGTACCACGTAGATAGTGTCATTAAAAACTGTGCCATCTACTGTGGTAACTCCTTATGAATTGTTTAAAGCAAGAAATTAAACAATCTTAAATATAGGTAGCATTTAGTTTTTATTTATATGTGTGTCAGAATTTTGTAAATATATAGATTAAGAAATAAAACAAAATGTAATAGTTTTAGAAGATTTACTTAGTACAATAAATAACCAGCTGTTTACAAAAGCGTCATATTTTTTATTGTTTTTGTTTTTTTTTTTTTAATACAAAATATTCGAAAACTCAAAGTGTAACTGCCAAGTTTCATTATTGTATATTTTCAACAATGTTGATTATCATTAAAAATACAATCCCGTAGGGGGATGACTTCGTGATACTTATCAAAAAGACTAGTTACAAAAACATTGGATAACTACGTACAATAACTTCAGGAAGATATTGGCGCCAAATTATGACAGCGTCAAAAATTATTTAAACTTTTTTTTTAAATTAAAATACAGTGTCATGTCAATGTCAAATTGACATTGACATTTACATTTTTCATCAGTTCGCATAACTTTTTTTAAATCCTGTAATTTCTCGTCAACCGCCAATATTTACACTTCTTAAAACTACAACTCAACATTACCACGATTAAATAAATTAAAAGTATTCCTTCCATTTTTTTTTTATATAGTTGCAATAATAATCATTAATAACTTTTTATTTGCAAATAGTATTTTATTTTCAAAAACGATATACATCGAACGTATATCTAAGATGTTATAGTTAAAAAATCAATTATAAATTGGGGCGGTCCTGTAACTTATAAAACCCTAAATCAGTCATATCAACAAAAACCCATTTTCATTATACTTTATTATACATAGTTTACAACAGAACATCTATTACAATGATTCATATTTTACACATTACCTTTTTTTTTTGTTCAAAATGAGAGGCAAAAGAATATCATTACATAAAATTTATAGTGATTCGATGTGACAATTTAATGGTCAAGTACACACACAGATACAAAATTTTGGCATTCGAACAAAACAAATTTGAACTCTCAGACGTTTGACATTTTTGTATATAACACAAATTCATTCATTGTCCAATTTGGAATTTTCCCTCTAACGTTTATATTCAATTTAGGACTTCTTGTGATATATTTCTTAAACTAGTGCATAATTGTATACAATAATGGACCGTGTTATTCACATCTTAAGTCACAACTGCATAATTCAGTGATTGATGAAAAAAAAATATAAATTAATATTTTATTATGTAAACATAATGTTATCATGTAAAAGTATATATTCATAGAAAGAAGGAGAACAATATTTTTTTATTGCTTTTTATATATTATTTTTGCAATTTTTTTGTGAGGCTTATATTTGGGGCATAAGACCGTCAAAAGTGATGTGGGGGGGGGGGGGGGGGGGGGGGGGGGGGGGGGTAATTTTCGATATTTCATTTTCAATTAGAAATTCATGTTGTTGTTTTTAGGATTAAATAAATAATGAGAATTAGACATAAATATTTAACGGGCCGTGTGGTCCCGGCATAGAATGGGCCACCTCTTCCGTTCCCGTGGGTGTCGTAAGAGGCGACTAAGAGGGAATTAATGGTCAACGGATAGGCAGCAGCGTCCCTATTGAAATATCATCAAAAGCCGAACTACACATGCCAACATGGCAATCAAGCGTGAAACCCTTTCAAGTATTAGTATCCATGACAGGGTACAGTGTCTACCAATGTTCAGCAGTGGACAGTTAACGGCTGGTATGATGATGATGGTGATGATGATGATTTGATGTAATCACCGTATATTGTTTTTATAATAATCGTTATATTTACGTATATTAGGTATAGTATTGTTAGAAACAAAATGACTATGTAAATAGCATCTATATCCAGTTACTTGTATGTGTATAAAATACAGATCCACTTTACTATTAAAACTATATTTCGCTTATTTTCAATTGATGTACTTCAGTTTTTTTTTTTCATATTAATGTTCATAAACGTTGAAGATTTTAGGGGGCCTGTCAATTCTACAGATATTAAATTGAGCTGTAAAGTGGCACTGAAAGTCAGAACACAATAGGCCAATTTGTATCCACGTAACCAAAACTTGTCAAATTTTTGAAATTGTATGTTACACCAAATCGGTTTACGATAGTATTGCTATATACAGGGTTAATCATAAAGTAGGAACCAAGTGGATAATATTTGTGATAAAACTAAACAAGTTCTATAAATATCTTATTTGAAATCTAAAAATAATTTCTGTAACATCTGTACAAGCCACGCGGTCACGTGATCGATTCAGTATAAAAATTTTAAATAAAAATAAATTAATTAAAAATTAAAAAACAGCCCCGACACAAGTCTATAAAGAGATAAAGGCCTTGAAACGCCTTATAAATTGTAGCTAAGAACAATCAATCACATCGACTTTGAAACAAAAAGCTGCGTCATAATCGGTCGATTCGTTTAGGAGCTATGACGTCACGGAAAGACACACAGAGATTTAAGAGAAAAGATTAAAAATATTTTTTAGATCTTGACCGTCCTTTTTGGGGCGAACTGTACTATTTCAATCATACTTTCATTGATTTACGGTTTGGTCGTATTGTGACTTTATGACTAAGCCTGTATATTTCAATGCTAAATAATAATAGTTGGAAATGCGGTCTTGTTATATATAAATATATATATAAATCCTATTCTGAGTATAAGAGCAACATTCAATCATTAGAACACTTAAAAGCATTGAGATCTTTATAACGAGCAGAAACACTTTATTAAAAAAAAAAAAAACAACTTATTAAAAAAAAATCTGTATACAATTAGTCCAATATAAAAAGTTCCTTACAATTGAAACAAAACCTTATTTCTCTCTAGATAGAACACGTTATACCTTTTTTACTTCGAGGTCTGCATTCCAATTACTATACAAATATAGAGTAGGCTTACACATTTTTCTATGTACTTAGAATATTTTATACAATATGAAAGATTCTCTGATGGGCTGTAAAAGGTAAAAATATAGGTTTTTTAATCTATTTTTCTACAAAATTTAATGCCTGATTTATAAATATATATTTTTTAATTTGATAATTTTACAACTTTGTAACGAAATAATTGGGAACTACAATTTTTTTATGCAACTTAGAATGGCAAACAAGCTGACGGCCCATTTGACGGAAAGCAGTGACCGTCGCCTATAGACATGAGCAGTACCATAGATATAACAAAGTATTAATTAAATTTATTTAATTTTTAATTAATTGAAGCTAAATTAATTAAAAGCTGCGACGACATCAAATATTTTAATTTTTTAGTAAATCTAGTAGAATTGTATTATATATAGTATATTTCATATACTGAAATGAATTCAAAAATAACAAAAAAGAAGAAGGCATATTTTGTTCTCAATACAGTACTTTTTTTAATACCACAAAGATGCCAAACTAATATGCAGCCCGTCTAAATGTAAAACGGTCCAGCGTTTACTATCAGACGAATTACAGTTAGTCTATGGACACCTGCAATAGTAGGGGTCATGTGCGCGTTGCTGACCCTGAAGGAGCCCTTTATGAAGAACCCTATATTGCAGTCAAGGAAACCCCCAGTAGGGAGCTCATTCCTCACTAAGCGTTCACGAAAGGAAACCATTATATATTTAAATGATTAGATTAAAAAGAAACCACTTTAAGGTTACTAATGACTATTATAGTCATTAGTAACATTGGCCTTTCTTTATCTATAAATATTTAATACCTAAGTTTCAATAATAAACTCACAACGTGAAAAGTACACAATAACATTTGAAATGTATAGAGTTTAGACTTAGAAAAATTAAAAAAAAAAAACAAAAAAAAAACAAATTATTCCTACCTTTACAACCCATACAGAATAAAACACAGCCAAACAGTAATTTGAAATCCATTCCTAATTAGGGACGGTCACACGAAACCCTTTATTTTACCAATATTCATATTTTATTTTTATTAATAATTACATATCAAATACCGAGTCTAGGCTTATGTACTTGTAAACCCTTACAAGTTACAAGTTGGCCTGATTTCTCGTGTAATATGAGAAATTTGTTATATTACATATCCTATATGTAACGCTTGTGTTACATGTAACAGTACATGCGAAATTTCTCAATGAGCCGCTCATCTGATGTACACGTCTTATGTAATATAAGACATGAATTCTATAAACATGCATACGAAATGTAATGTTACATCTCTTATTTGTAATACTCGCCAATGGGTTGTTACATTACGAGCAAAATATCTCAATGAGCAACTCATTTGATATACCCATCCCGTATATTATAAAGCATGTGCTGAATTACATAAAAATAGGTATACCCAAAATGTAATATTACATCTCCCATTTGTAATACTCGTCTCTTAGATGTTATATTAGACACAAAATGTACATTTGATATTATTGGACTGAGTAATTGTGCGCCTAACAATATTATGAGTTTAATGTCCATTTCATAATTACACGATTATCAATTTTTTTTGTTTTTTTTTTACAAGCTGAGGTATGCTGTATTGTTACCGTAATCATTATTATATAAATGACGATATGTTGTTAAATAAATCAATACACTTAGATATGTTTACTCTGAGATTCTAATACAGTAAGAATACATTGGATTCATTTAAACAAATTACATTAATATAATTAAATAAATTACAGATTAAAAAAAGGCCAATCAAATCAGTACTAGCAAATATATATATATATATATATATATATATATATATATATATATATATATATATATATATATATATATATATATATATATATATATATAATGAAAGATATACACTGAATGAAAGATTTCTTTCTAACTAGAAAAAAAAACAATCTAGTTCCTTTCATTGTAAGATTCAAATTTAAATGTAAATGAAACTTCAATGCCTTTCAAAATGGAGCATTAAACTAAATGTTAGTATGTTAAATTTTATATACATTGAAGGTACAAAGGAACTCTTTTGTGATACAACTTTTTCATTAATAAAATTTTATTCTAAAAAAAAACACAACTCAATTATGGTTCAAAAACTAAACCACTGAACCGATTTTGATAAAACTTCCATGGGACCAATCTAAAAGTATATCCTTTCAGATAAAAAAAATGCAAATTAGTTTAGAAACATATATAACATAAAATAACAACTGAATAGATAGCCTCCTTAATTTTTGAAATCGGTTGAAAATAGCTTTTAAAGTAATATTCTTAAATCTAAGTGGACGCCGCTTTGTGGCTTACAAAGAATTCCAGCATTGTACAATGTTTGCATACCTGCTGCCTTAATATAATCCGTACAAAATTGGCATTTAAGTCCATTCTACGTTTTTTTTATACATTCTTTAATTTCGGCTATATAATATATAAGTTTAGGAACATTTTTTTTTTACAGTGGCCAACCCCATTGAAATAATAACTTCATTTACTCACAATTTTTCAATAAAAAAAAAAGTTATATTTTATGTCTATTTGTATATAATGCATTCGTTTCATTGATCCCAATTCTAAAATCGAATAATCCGTTTCATTCTCTGAATTAAATCAAATATGTAAAATTACATACATTTTATCCAATCAATCTTCCATAAAAGTCCTAACGTAAATGTTAACAGAACACACAATCACAACACAATACAAATAATAAACTATATGTTAAATACAGTAAACTCATAGCCGTATATAAAAAAATGCGAATAAGTAAGGCTAATATACCTTAAAGGGTAAAATGGAGTATTACTAACAAATGTAGTCATTTTAGATTTTATCCATAAAACATAATATTTCAATTAATATATATATAATATAGTTAAATTTAAAACATTTTTATATGTAGGGATCAAAATATTTAAGAGTCAAATAATTTGAGCATGATTACATATAAAAAAAGTCTATAGTGCAATTTTCATTGTCTATGGTTTTGTTCAAGCTCTTTGCCATCCATTACTTTAACTTTGGGAAGAGTATTAAAAAATAATTTAACAATAATTTCCACATTTGCTTTTAATCTCAAACAAATAAAATCCAATAAATACTTTTTACAATTCGAGAATCATATAAAAACGATTCGTTCTATTTTTAAACATTTAAAAACTTTTCACGCTACGGCCTCGGGTGGAGGCGTTTTGGCCCAATTTTTTTGCCAATCGACCTATGTGACCGTCCCAATCCAGCAAAACTATCTTCGGCTATAATATTTCTCTTGATAACATTCATAGAATTTAATTCTTACCAGTCACGCATCCGTCCCTATACTTTCTTGATTAGGGGCCGCCTCTACTTCTTGCGTCTCTTTCTCTGGTTTTCTTTCCTCTTCTTTGACCTCTTTGGTCTCTTTCACTTCTTCGGTTTTCTGTGCCTCGTCTCTACTCTCGGAGGGCTTGGAATCGGTTGATATGGAACTAGATGTTAAACTATTAGGTTGTGAGGACTCTTTGCTCTGTGGCTCCTGGGACCCGCGGTTTTCAGATTGCGGTTTGTCTTTTGTATCTGTGAAATTAAAAATACAATTAGAATGATGTACATAAATGAAAATTAATATCTATTTTTTCTTTCTAAAGGAAAAATCAGAGAATGGCTAAACCAAATCGACTACTTTTTTTAAATACCAACATTTGTAGTTCGTTAAAGATTGTTATAAAGAGAAAAACTGGAAAAATTGTTCAGTAACGAAGTTAGATTGCCCTCCACACGGTCCACCCTGGAAAACGTCGTAATTCCTAGTGAATTTATCATTGTGGGCCAACTAACCGGACTCATACTCACCTATCATCTCTAACTAATACCTCGGAGGGGGAAGGCATTGTTTTTTTTTTATGGGTGAAAATGGTATGGTAATCCCGCCTGCGCTAACGGGTTAGCTGGCGGAGCACCAGTGAAGGGGGGGGGGGGGGGGGTAGAAGGGATTGTTAGTACAGACTACCAGTACCATTGCTAGCAATATACCCAATCTGGTCGACAACTAGTACCTCGCCTGCATCAATCAATAAGGAAAGAGCTACTATTTATTCCATTCTCATCCATTCAAAAACGATCACGACTAAAACCAATATAAACAATTACAATTCAAGATTAATAGTAGTACCTACACCACATTGAACATTATTTTATCTACATGATTACGTTTTTTACTACATACATAATAAAACTATTGTACTTAATTGTGTAATTTTTTTTTATAATCATAATTATTTTTATGGTATCCCATATATAATTAAGTCGCCATTGATTGTTTTTAATCGATAAATTGATAAATTTAAGTATGTTAATACACTTGAATTTATAGAATATTTTATATAAAATAAATAATACATTTATACGATAATTATAGCCAATGCTGTGTATATCTATTACTGATTAGAGAATTATATATAAATACTAGCTGACTCGGCAAACGTTGTTTTACCATATACATTATTTCTAGAACTATACGTGAAAATATATAGTACTACAATTATTATATTCGATTGTCATCTTGCAACCCTATTGCAGCATATATAGAAATCGCGATTAAAAAACAGCGGTTGATCGTAAAAGCGTAAAAATTTGAATTTGTATGTATTGTTCAATGCTAAATCATAATAAAATAAAAATAAAAAAAATTGCCAAAAAAATTGAAAAATATATTTAGGGATGGGTCGCTCTTATCATTAGGGGATATGAAAAATAGATGTTGGCCGATTCTCAGAACTACCCGATATGCACACAAAATTTCATGAAAATCGTGAAAGCCGTTTCGGAGGAGTTTGGTAACAAACACCGCGACACAAGAATTTTATATATTATATATGGTAGAGAATTATAGGATATATATATATATATATATATATATCCTATAATTCTCTACCATATCCCCACCATTCAATCACCGTTCAATTTATATATGTTAATAATAATATGTTACTACTGTAACAAAAACTAACTTTACTGTATTACATTTACATTAACATACAATAATTGATATAAACATGTACATTACTACACATTAAAGAATTATTTTGTCATAATTTTACTAATGATTGTTGCACGTCAGTAATGACAAAACGTGAAACCAACTCATCACCTTATTGTACCAAATTTTTAGCAACAGATTCATAAATAAGTAATAATGTTAATATATAAATAAAATCACTAGTACATATATATAAATATATCACTACTTTGTTACCTCCACCGGAACTATATATGACAAAGAAAGACCGAGTACAGACCCTTTTTTGCCGTCAGGCGTGCGCTCGTACACATCTCTGTTACTTTATTTGATCTGATAAATTGATAAATTGTTGAATATATGTTATATTAAAGTTCTTATCTATCTTTGTTCATATAAATTATGTTATATTGCTTTGTGCTTGTGCCTACACTTTAAACTTTTAAGTGGATTCCTAAATACATATGTATAGAACGTAGAATATCAAAAACAAGCCAAAGACAAATTATCTATAAAAGCATACGGTTATTTAGTGTTACTAGTAAAAAATTAAAAAAGTAAATACTTTGAACTGAGTAATTAATACGAATCAAAACAAACTGAAGAAAAATATTAAAGAAAGTATGACTTTATTCTAAAAAAGGACGCATACTTTCTGACTATTGTATAAATTGTTAAATAATTTCTATCTATCCGTCCTTGTGTACAATCTTATCCACTATCCATGGATACTATTTATACTGAGTGAATTTATATTTATTAGCAATAGGTATAATATAAGATCGTGTTCCACAAAATAAAATCAATTTCAAATATGGCAACACCACTCTTTTTTTTATAATTTCGATTTGAAAACCAAACCACTGAACTGGTTTTTATAAAATTTCTATATGAAATATAATATATAAGAAATATATAATGAAAATATATATATATATATATATATATATATATATATATATATATATATATATATATATATATATATATATATATATATATATATATATATATATATATATATATATAAAGAACTGACTGAGTTATGAGGTAACAAACATATATACATATATATTGTTATAATAATGCTAATAGCGATATAAATAGTTTACTGTATAAAACAATAATAAAAATTTACAACTTAAGAGGAAGCTTCTTTCCTTGACAACTTAATTCGAGTCTTATCTTCAGACAACAAACAATATTTTCTTCAATTCCTTCGAGCACTGAGCCAAGTGTGAACCGCGTACTTGGGCGATAGAAAATCTTTAGTGGAAAAATAAATTTTTATATATTTTTTTGCAACTTAGAATGGCAAACAAGCTGGCGGTCCACCTGACCGAAAGCGGTAACCGTCGACTATAGATATGAACAGTACCATGAACATAACAGAGTATACTGTTTCGCCCATGATACCCCCCATGCGTTGCCATTCCTGAGGACTCAGGTGTTATTCCTCTATACCCTGTAAATTCACAATAAAAAGTTGCATTCATTTACAAAAACTACATTTAACATAATTTGTTTATTATTTTAATAAATCTGTGTTACTGAGGAAGAAAAAAAATATATAAATTATTCATAGAAAAGGAGAAAGAGAGAAAAAATATCCACCTTCTTTATACTCGTAAAAATTAAAAAATATTACAAACCTACTTTTGCTTTTTTTTAATTAGAAAATTATTAAAAAGAAAAAACATAACAGTTCTATATTTAAAATAGGTTTATTATCGTTTCGAAGGTTTAATGACTAAAGAGAGTATCAAACTCACAGATTTTTCAGGCGTAGACTACGCCTGTACAAGGGAGATATTTAACAAAAAAAAATATATGAAAAATCTTTATATAACAAAGAGCTTCTTAAACTTTTTACAAGCTTTTTTACATTCACAGACCACTTTCATGATTTAAACAATTCCACGGACCCCTGTCAAAAAGATTTTAGTTAGGTCCTAAATATTAGGAAAAGAAAAAACGGGTTTCTTTTATATTAAAAAAAACTTCTATTGGTAGTTTCATTACACTTACTACTAATTTAATGAGAAGAATGCTGCTGTTCGACCTCAATGAGAATCAATAATAAATATTTTTAAAGTTAACTGATCTATTACGGACCCCTGATAGATATGCTATGAACACCCAAGAGGTCCGCGGACCCCACTTTAAGAATCCCTACATAAGGGCCAAAAGAATATCTTTTTTTTTTGGGAATTTTATCTGTCTGTCTGTATGTTGCAAAAACTACTGTGCCAAATTTAATGTAGTTTTCACAGTTATATTGTTGAAATTTTAACTTAAACATTAACTATTACATTGTTAGTCTATGGTATATAATATCGGCGAACATTAGTTAACGGGTAACACTTGGTAGCGGTAACACTTACCGCCGCCATGTGTAGCCGGCCACGGTTTTCTCACGAACATGTTCTCGACGATTCTGTCGATGTTGTCCTTCTCTGATGAGTTAGCCGGCCTGTAATCACAACTCAAATGAACAAGGGTCTTGCCACAAATAAGTTAAACTTGTGTTATAAAGTTTATATTGTTATTGTGTTATAAATGCATGTTTAGACATGTTACTACAAAAGTGTCTAACATCTGTTTATATATAAACAAAATAAAAGTCTATTTTACAAATTTACTTTAATTATAAGTGGCCAGGATTACAAAACATTGCTTCGCATATACCTTGCTCTTATATTATATAGATAGAGTGACTCTATAGAAATACTTTGAGAAAAACGGGTCAACTTTTTTCTACAATTTTGCGTGATAAATAGTTACGAATGATTCCTTTATAACTTCTATATTTACTTTGTCTTAAAAATTCTATATATTTTTAATGCGTAAACACTCATTTTATTTATTAAATAATACGTCAAAATATAGAATATAGATAACAAGATATAGAATACTGATAAAAAAACGAGTCAGCTAACTTGACAATTAGCTGACAAAAAGTTTACCCGTTTTTGAGGCTCGATGCTCTATCTATACAATCTAAAACCTTTTTATAATGATAAAAAGAGTTAAATATTTTTTAAAAATCAAACATTCGAAATTCAAACTTTTATAACCAGCCAGTAGCACAAAACATTAAGTCTTGTGTAGTACCTTACTTAAAAAAGTAAAATTTTTCAAAAAACGAATATTCTAAATTCAATCTTTTATAAGCTGCCAGGAGTACAAAACATTGTCACGTTCGCATGTACCTTTCTTAAAAAGTACGAACTATATTTTTTTTTAAATATACCATTCGGAATTCCAATATTTATAAGTGGCCAGGATTGTTCCGTGTGCTACGTACCTGTCTGCGCAGGGTGCGGCCGGCCGCACGATTGGTATGGCGGCGGTGGGGCGACGTTGTGCACGCGGCAACTGTTCCTGTTCCGCACAACTGTAGTATGTCACGCCGCCCGCCTGCGTCGCCTGCGCCAAATAAGCACAATATAAATAAATAATTACAACGATAATCTCTTAATCTTTTTTTTTATAATATTATAAAAAAATAATACAAAAATAGTAAGCGGTGACACCTCAATTCATCGATCGCGGCTGTCGGTCATAAAAATCGACTAAGAGGAAGAATGGTTTCGGTTCGGTTCGAAGGGTGGGCGTGAATTTACAGGGTACAGAAGAGTAACACCTGAGTCCTCAAGAATGGGAACACATGGGGGATATCATGGGCGAAACAGTATACTCTGTTATGTCTATGGTACTGCTCATGTCTATAGGCGACGGTTACCACTTTCCATCAGGTGGGCCGTCAGCTTGTTTGCCATTCTAAGTTGTATAAAAAAAAGAATGGACCAGCGGCATCTCTCTTAAAACATCTCTAAAGCTTGACTGCAGTTGCCAATCCAACTGCCAAGTATGGCAACTACTGGCAAAACCCTGCAAGGGGGAGCCTTATGTTCCGTAGTAGTAAGACAGTAAAACAGACAGTTAAAGGCTGATATAATGATGATGATTAATGTATAAAGGCCAGGGAATAAGCGTATTCACTCACCTGACATAAATCTAGAGAGGGGAACGGATTGTTAGTAATAGGGAGGTTAGTCCCCATTGCTATCAATATGCCCTTGCTATTGCTATAACATATCAGATCAACCTCCACGCGGTTCCGCCTGGAAACTATCGTAACTAATTTATCATTGAATTCGTCACGATGGGCTAACTGACCTACCTTTTCATCCTCATTTAACACCTCTCACTGGGGGGAAAAGGGATTGTTAGTAATGGAGACTGAGAATGCCATTGCTAGCAATATACCCAACCAGGTCGACCTCCTCGCGATTCCCCCTGGAAACTATCATGGTTAATTCCTGATGAAGTCATCATGATGGACTAACTGGCCTGTTTTCATTCTCATCTATCACCTTTCACTGGTGCTCCGCCAGCGTATCCCGTTAACGCAGGCGGGCTTACTATACCATTTTCACCCATTAAAAAGAAACATAAAACCAAATGGATATTTCCAAATATACTCAAGCACAAAATATGACCGCAAGGATGGAGTGTACTCACGTAGTTGTGATGCGGATACATCTGATGTGGATATGGCGCGGGTGGCTGCGCGTACATAGCGCCGCCGAACACTCCGCCGGTGCCACTCTGCTGCGGCGGCTGGGGATAAACGTACCATCAGTACATCTTATCTTACCAACACAAAAAAATTGTAGCTAGACGGATTTTTCTAATGCAAATTAGAATGATAAACAAGCTGACGGCACAACTGATGTAAAGTGATAACCATCGTCTATAGACATGAGCAGTACCATAGACATAACAGAGTGTACTGTTTCGTCCATGACACCCCTTATGCGTTGCCATTCCTGGGTTAGTTAGGCTTTGGTGATGTTTTAAGCGAGACACTGCGTCCATCACTCCACCATTAGTTTCATATTGTTCATAATATTGAAAAAAAATCGCCATGTCGGTCCAGTATAGAACGGACCACCCCTTCCTTTCCCGTAGGTGTCGTAAGAGGCGACTAAGGGAGGGCGATGAATGGACAGCAGCGTCTCTCTTAAAAAATCACTAGAAGTCTAACTGAAGTTGCCAACCCGCCTGCCGCGTGGCAACTACTGGCAAAACTCCCCTTTTGGGGAAAGCTTATGTCCAGCAGTGAACAGTTAAGAGCTGACATAATGATGGTGATTGAAAAAATCAACATACCTGCATATACTGTGCCGGCATCATGGCAGGCGGCGCGTATCCCTGTGTTGGTTGTAACTGCCCTGTAAAACAGAAATTAAATAAGATTTTGTTTCACAAACAAAAAAACACTTCAACTGTGGCAAAACCAGTTATTTTGGTTTAAAAAATAAAGTACAATACTAATATTACCGATTTTAACAAAATATCTATGATGGCACCAATCTGAAAGTCTTTTTAAATAAAAAAAAAAAAAAAAAAAGCAGATTTTCCAAACTGGTTTTGAAATGACGGAGTTATGAGGTAACTAAATTCCCTATTGTATGAGTTATGAACTTGGGCCGATTATTTCGACACTAGTTTCTCAATTTGAAAGACAAAACACATCTGGTTAATATTTACCTATAGTATGTGGCTGCGGCATGTTGTGAAGTGAGTGGTGAGGGTGGGATACCAACTGCTGCGACTCCAGTATGCCCAGTCTGACCTGAACACAAAAAAAAAATACGGTACATTTATATATTTTATTAATACACATTCATTTTCAATTTATTAAAGAAAAACATTCCATTTTGTTGATAGAAGTATGGACAGAAATACCAAAAAAAAATGGCCCAAGCTTCTTGTTTCTACATAATATTTGCAATATATTTACTAATGATATGCTTCCACTTCACACAAGTATATAGAAAGGTAAATTAGTATTTTATATTAACTTTAATAGGCATGGTTTTACCAGAGGGTGACTTTGTACAAAAGTCGATTGCTTAGGTACCTCTGTCCCATTCGTGTTTCTACCGATAAGCAGTTGTGTTTGATAGGCTGTGTTTCGGTTTGAACGGTGGGATATGGCGTGAATTTACAGAGTACAGAGGAATAACACCTGAGTCCTCAGGAATGGCAACGCATGGGGGGTATCATGCGTGATGCTTTATTACCACTTTCCATCAGGTGGGCCGTCAGCTTGTTTGCCATTCTAAGTTGTATAAAAAAAAAAAGTAATTCACCAGTGAAGATGAATATTGAATGATGACGAATTCATCAATAATTACGATTTTTAGGAGAAATCAAGTGGAGACCGACCTGATAGTGTACACTACCTGCAGAAGGTCAGTTAGACCCCGTTACTAACAATTTCCAGAAGTTCACATTATTAGTCTAGCGTGCTCATTACTAATGTTTTTTTTTTTTTACATATACACTAATACTATAAAAAGGAAACATTTGTATTTCGTGTGTATATTTGTAATGAATAAACTCAAAAACTACTTTGCCGATTTAAAAAATTCTTTCACCATTAGAAAGCTACATTCACCCTGGGTAACATAGGCTATATTTATTGCTAGAAAAGATTAGGGATCCTTACTTAAACTTTAGTAACGTAACTCGAGGTGTAAAAAAATGCTATAAAATATCTTTGGTCGCGTGCGCTGCGAAAACTAGATGATAGTGCGGTGATAGAACAAAAGTATGTTCTACAATATTGAAGAAAATATCAATTACTACAAAAAACTTCGCTATATGTCCAACCATTACCGTTATGTCACTATAACCACTTTTTAGATTGTTGTAAAAATGTCCACCCGTGCGAAGCCTAGACGGGCCGCTAGTTTATTCATAAACAATCATTTTCATAATAATAATTTTAAATAATTGTCCTCATCCTCTCCTCCCGCCAGTAAGCGACTGGTACCTGTTGGTTGTGCTGCGGCGGCGCGTGCGGCGCGTGCTGTGCGTGCTGCGCGTGCTGCGGGTGCTGCGTGTGCTGCGCGTGCTGCGTGTGCTGTGGAAGCGGCGCCAGCGGCGGCGACGGGCCGTGCGGCTGTACGCTCGCGCCGCGGTGAACCTACACGTACGTATTACAACGATCAAATTCGAAATAACAATCGAATACTTACCAATGTAATTGTGATTTTTTTTATACAACTTAGAATGGCAAACATGCTGACGGTCCACCTGATGGAAAGTGGTAACCGTCGCATATAGACATGAGCAGTACCGTGGACATAACATTATCTATTTTATTAATTTTAACGTTTGATATTTGACATTTATTACAATATTTATTAAATGTAATGTGATTTCTAATACGGGTTCTTCGGATACCCAGTTCAGGCACCAGTTCTCTACAACATTGATCTATGTATGGTATTTTTTTTAAGTGTTTCATTGTACTTAAAAAAGTTGTGAGATAAATAAACATTTTTATTATTTAAAAAAAAAATGTTATACAGTGAACGCTCTATATAAGCAACACATTGGAACCAATTTCATTAAAAAAAAATCTTATTGGGAAAAGTTACTTATACGGAAAAAAGGAGTATAAAAATACTTTACCGTCTGGAAAATATTTTTACTTATTTCTTTTACGAAACATCGTTTTCATTTATTTGCAGGAATTTACGAACAATTTATTATTATTACAGTATTGCTAGTGTCAGATTTATTAATTAACCGAAATAGTAGATTTTGCATTACATTTTGCTATTGTATCAACCGTTAATTGTCCACTGCTGAACATAGCCTTCTCCATAAGTGGGGTTTTTACCAGTAATTGCCATACTTAACAAGCAGAATGGCAGCCAAAATTAGGCTTTATGGGTGTTTTAAAAGTAACACTGCCGCCTATCCCTCGACCATCACGTTCGCCTAGTCGCCTCTTACGACACCCATTGGAAAAGAAGGGGTGGCCTATTCTATGCCGGGACCACACTGATCTCTTACAAATTATACGGTCCCTTTAAAATTTACATTTTTAATAACAATTTTAAATGTCACATTCATTAATTCCCTTACATCAATACATACCTGGTGCATAAGCTGTTGAGGGTGCATTTGGGGTACGGGGCTACCCTGGTGCTGAGTCGGCGGTGGATTACCGCCGGCGTATTCTAAACAAACGTACAAAGTTTTATTATTATAGATTAAATTCACTAAAAACACTTATTTATTCCTTAATTATAAAATAAATATCTCAATCAAGTGGGCATAACATTATATATAAACTTTTTACTCTTAAATAAAAACAAAAAAATTACAACATGGGATTCTTAAAAAAAAAAATAGGGGTAAAAAAGTTTCTTCCGGGATAGCAAAGCGCGCGTAATGCAAGAGCATGACGCGCGTAAACGCCGTATGCTTATTTTTTTTTTATACAACTCAGAATGGCAAACAAGCTGAAGGCCCACCTGATGTAAAGTGGTAACCGTCGCCTATAGACATGAGCAGTAACATAGACATAACAGAGAATACTGTTGCCATTCCTGAGGACTCAGCTGTTATTCCTCTGTACCCAGTAAATTCACGCCATATCCCACCCTTCAAACCGAAACACAGCCATGCAAACACAACTGCTTCACGGTTGAAATATATTATTATGTTTACTTATTTGCCATCTCAATGGTATAAAAAATATACATTTATAGCCCCCTTGTATTCTCAAAAATAAAACAATATGCCCATACCACTTTATTGATAAATAAAGTTTAAATAAAAATAAATTACGGGTTTATATTGTTGCTATTGTATTATGCTGTTTTTGTAATCATGTACAGATCAACAATTTGCCGCTATGATTATCAACAAATGTAAACAATTACACTATAACCAATTTAAAAAAGCTCTCGTCGTTGCTCTTGTTGTTGTCATTATTGTTGTGCGTCAACAACTTGTCGCTGAAATTATCAACAATTGTAAACAATAAAACAATTACCGGTGTATCTAAACTGTTGTTGTTGCTATTGTGCCCGTGACTGTTGCTGCAATTGTTGTTGTTGTAATCACGTGAACATCAGCAATCTGCTGCAATTATCAAGGAATAATTACCAAGAAACAACAAAACCATTACCGGTGTATCTAAGCTGTTGTGGCTGTTGTTGCTGTGGCTGTTGTTGCTGTGACTGCTGTTGCTGTGGCTGTTGTTGCTGTGGCTGTTGCTGTTGTGATTGTTGCTGTTGCTGCGATTGCGGTGAATATGTCTCAGCGAGAGGTCGCTGGCGTAAGCTGCTGTAGCGTTTCACACCACCGCGTGATTCGGCCCCTACGAGAATATATTAATGGTGTTATTTACACTATCACTAGCTGACCCAGCAAATCTTACTTTGCCCCCTACCGCCACCTACCGTATCCACCGTACCGTATTTATTACCACGATAAAAAATCATTAGATCTCAAGAAAGAAGAAGAAATACAAGTCCCCTTAAAATTAATACAGCTAATAAAAAGTAAACCAGACATCAAAGCACTGGCCAGAGACTTGGAGTAAATATCCCCCGGAGATGAAACTAGGACAAAGCGAATTTCCTCAAGACTCCTTAGAGGGCTAAGAAGATCCGTTATCGTAAATTATCCAATTTCTTAAGTGTATAAAAAATCGTATTTACAAAACTTCGAATAAATCGATTAAGGGATTAAAAAAATTAGCGTGAACGAAGCGTAGAACAGGATTGTAATATATGTATATTGAGATACGAGCTCTACGCCTAGCCTTCGGGCTAGTGTAGAATTAACAGGCTATATCCTACTCTTGTGAGGAGAGACCTACATATGCTCAATAGTGGGGAAAGGGGATTGTTAGTAACGCGGATTACTAGTCCCATTGCTAGCATAAGACCTGTCAGGTCAAACATTTCCCAAGAGACTACAGCATGGGGTTCTTCAAAAGGGGGGTAAAGATGTTTCTTCAGGGTCGGCAACGCACGCGTAATACCTCTGGTATTGCAGGTGTTCATAGGCTACGGTAACCACTTACCATTAGGTGGGCCGTATGCTTGTTTGCCACCTCAGTGGTATAAAAAAAAAACCTACACGTTGTTTCTCCTAGGAACCATTGTGCTGAATCCCAGGTGTATTTATTACGGTAAGCTAACTGACCTGCCCTTTCATTTTCACCTATCACCCCTCACTGGCTCCCACCAATTTATACGCTAACGGTATACCGTTAGCGCAGGCAGGATTACTATTCCATTATCATCCATTAAAATACTGGTAGGTTATGGTAAAAATCGAGCCAGTAATTGGATTGTTTATTAATAGTAATACAGTCTAATGAAATGAAATGTAGAGAAATCATAAAACTAAAGATGTATATATACAATGGCATATAGGTATGCTTGCTATGGAGTATATTTTTAAAAATCTTAATAATATCCATTGCCTTTTAATGCTGACCATACCAAGGCTTAGTGCCGCCACCACTATCCTTTTATAGAAACACCATTACCCAACAAGACAATAATAGATTTATTATTTATTTACACCCAGTAGGCTAGTGCACAATAGATAAATATTTGGTCGCCGATCTTCCGTAAACGGATGATCGGCAATGTACTGCACGTTTTGTTATTTGATCCGCCACACTCGACATTAATGCGACTGAAGATCGGCGACCAAAAATAAGGTAAAAATGGTACTAGCATGTCATTTTTAATATTTAACAACAAACTCACCGGCCTGTTGCTGCGGTTGCTGGTTCTGTTGCTGTGCTTGCGGTTTTTGCTGCGGCTGCGAAGGCTGTTGCTGAGGCGGTGCTTGATTATTTTGCTGTTGCGTCTATTGGAGATGTGAAACCAATAATTTAACTTTTGCTTATTCTGTCATCATCATCATCAGTCATCCTATTTTTCAGTATTTTTTTTTTTCTTAAATTAAAACCAACATGGAACGTTTTTTATATATTCCGCCATAGAACAGCATAGAATTTTAAGATTTTATTGTCAAATTACTTACAATAGAATATAGTAGATCTACACAGAGTACCCAGTAAGTATATTTTTAAGTTTTTTTTTTTTTTAATTATTTGTTAAGTCAACAAAACCAGCTCTAATTACAAGTTACTCAATAATTACTAAATCTTATAATTATTATTGTTGTTTTAATGATATATATTATATCCATATATATTTCTATATATATATATATATATAATTATTTTAGTACGTTACTATTAATTATGTCATATATTTTTCACCACCACTGCCCTTCATATGCTTTCTATTCTTACCTAATAGTTAGCTGGTAAAGGATGGCATATGACATTAAGCTCACCAATTATACAAAGTTTTATTATACAATAAAGAATAAATAAATAGTCTAACAGATTTAAAGTTTTGACAGTCAATGCTGACGCCTTGTTTAGAGGTGACATACATATATATAATAATCATTTACGTATGAAGCCCAAAAATTCTTACCGGTGCCTGCTGCGGCGGCCTCTTCTTGCCCTGTTCGGTTGGCACTGGCTTCTGCTGAGCCACTGCGTTCACTTTCCGCTGGGGCTGGCCTTGACTGACGACATACAATTGTTGTAATACATACTTTCAAGTTTATATACATAATATATTATATATGTATTTATTTAATAATAATAAATACAATAATAATATCTAATTTCATTGCCAGTAGTTGCCATACTTGGCAAACAGATTGTCAGGCTACTGCCAATCTCTCGACAATTGCGCCCTTAGCGGCCTCTTACGACACGCACGGGAAAAGGAAGGACCAATTCTATGGCGAAACCACATGGCAATTGTGATATTATATTCTTGCAACCAAATCATCATCATCATTTTAAACATGAATTGTCCACTGCTGAACATAAGCCTTCCCCATAAAAGGGGTTTTGCCAGTAGTTGCTAGACATGGCAGTTGGGTAGACAACTAATGATTTGGTGATATTTTAAGAGAGACTGCTGCTCATCCCTCAACCATTATGTTCCCTTAGTCGCCTCTTAAGATACCCACGGGAAATAAGAGGGTGGTCCGTTCTATGCCGGGACCAGATGGCAATTGTGATATTATGTTCTATTGCAACCAACTAAATAGCCAACTCACTTGTTATTCGCAACTGCTGTAGTTATTGTGAGATTCTCCAATGGCGGCATCTTCTCCTTGTTCTGAGGTTTGGCTTGGGGTTTGTTCGCGACTGGACGGCTGGACGGCTTCGGCCGTTCGCCCCTGCCCTTGGGCGTCTTGATGGACGCGTTCCTCCGGAGTTGCGAGCCGTTTTCCAGTGATTCGTTAGAAGCCGGCTGAGATTTGGACCTGGGCCTTTGGGGCCGGGGTTTTCTGCTGAAAGTCAAAATTGTTTTATTACACGTATTACAGAACGGTGGACTGTGATGAGGTGATGAAATGATGTAGACACGGAATTGAGCAGCGAATAAATGTATTAACAGCGACCAAGGAACAGAACAATAAGGTATATGTCAAAAAATATTGATTTTTTTTTATATTCCCATTGGTGTTTCTACCGTGAAGCAGTTGTGTTTGCATGGCTGTGTTTCGGTTTGAAGAATGGGATATGGCGTGAATTTACAGGGTACAATGGAACAACAGCTGAGTCCTCAGAAATGGCAACGCATGGGGGGTATCATGGGCGAAACAGTATACTCTGTTATATCCATGGTACTGCTCATATCTATAGGCGATGGTTACCACTTTTCATCAGGTGGGCCGTCGGCTTATTTGCCATTCTAAGTTGTAAAAAAAATTTAAAACAAATAATAAGAACATTTTAAAGGTAAATGAAAGAAAAAGATGTCTAAAGTGTTTGCATCAGCTGGTCGCCAATATAACTGCCCAAAAAAAAGACTGAACATATTCAGGGTTCATGTGTATATGTGGGTTTAAGTTCCTTAATTCCACCATAACTCCTAAATATTTTAATGCAATAACTACCGGTTTAACTTACGTGTAATTAGATCGATTGTTTGAACCGCTCATGATTAAAGGTCACGAATTGATAGCGAAACTAGTCGAGCATACTCTTTGAACATTAGAAAATAAAATAACTCCTTTAATGCCTAAACAAATTTAAATATATTGGTAGAATCCTTACATCATCACAAGTGACGCTGGTAACAATATTTTTAAATAGATTATTTATGAACAAAAAGGAGAACTTAAACTTTTTTTATACAAATTAGAATGCCAAACAACAGTAATGTAAGCACAGGTTCATACCATCATCTTTATCATATTATCGATCGATAACTACCGATACATATACATATAGATGATGATGGTTCATTGAACAGATGATGATGATCATTGTCCATATACAGATGATGCTGATGATGGTTCCTTATACAGGTAATGGTGGTTCATTAAACAGATGATGATGGTTCATTGTACAGATGACGATGATGACAGTTCATTGTACAGATGATGATGATGATGATAGCTCGTTATACTGATGATGATAATCATGGTTCACATACAGATGACTATTATACAAGAGTCGTTTATATAAAACATCACTTTAACACTATCTATCAGGAGGGCCCTCAATTTATTTGCCATTCCGTGTTGTATAAAAAAAAATACTTACGCATATTTTTTGCCTGCAGCATCCAGCTCCGGGAAGTCCTCAGGGTTTGGTGGTTTCCGCGGCGTCGCTTGCGCCGCATTCTGGCGTTTGTAGGCTTCCTCGTCCTCCCACGTCCGAGTGTACTTATTCGGTCCACGGCTAGAAATGAAATGATATTTAAAAAATGTTTATTTATTATTAAAAAAAAATAACAGAATCTTAGAACAAGAATATTATTTATAGGAGAGCTTATAATCAAGTTACATTATGAAAAGTCTTCATTGCAATCGGACCCCAAACTAAATCAGACCTGTATTTTGGGGACTAAAAACTAGCAACTGACCTAGTAACTCATCATCATCAGAGGTGGAAAAGGACCGAAAAATAACACCTTAGTTTAATTCGCCCAACTGATAGAAAGTGGCAACCTTTGCCTATAGACATGAACAGTACCATGGACGTAACAGAGTATACCAGTCCTCGAAAATGATAATAACGAAAGTCGAAAGATAGCTAACAATATACTTTGCCAGATAGACCTCCACGAAGTCTGCATCCCTACCTTGACCAACAGCTGAGGTTGCCATTTCCCCCGCCAAGCGTGACAACTACTTGTAAACCCCCAATAGGGAGGCTTACGTTCAGCAGTGGACAGTTAAAGTCTGATATGATAATCATCATATCAGACCTGTCCATAATAAAATTTCATTCATTAATAAATTATTATATCATTAATACTACTATATCATAATAACATCACTGATATAATCAGAGATTTTTTAAACAAATAAAAATTCCATTGCGTATACAAAGCTGTTTAAAGAACTATACAAATAAATAAGTAAACAATAAGTATTACGAACGCATGCAGAACTGATCATAAACTGCAAAACAAAATTGTAACATCATGCAAAAAAAAAAATTAAAGGCCCATATGTAAATAACCCATATTTACTAACCGCCAATGCCGGTACCTCCATATTGAATAGCGTGGATAGAATTATGCAATTAGTATCGCTTTCTCTGTATTAAAACATTGGTCGGTTTAGATTCATTGCGTCAATCGATACAGTTTGCGTGTGTGAAAGGAAATCAGCGCCATCTAGCGGTCACAGCTTGACACTTTCTTATAATTATTTTTAATATACATACAATACGTTATTAGAAACTAAACCATAAACATCTGCCCCCCCCCCCAGACAAGTGGCAAGCGAATCGATAGATACGTTATCGCTATAGTATGCATGAGATAAAACGTAATAGCAATATCCCACATCTCGTTCTCCCTATTGCGAGTGCTATCAAAAATATACGTAACTGATTCGAATATGTTTTTTTTTTACACTTATCCAGATAATAGATACATTATAGGGTGCATAAGATAGAACAAGATGCAATCTCTAGTGTCTCTTTCTTATATGAAACCAATGAAAATTTATCAAGATATATTTGCCACTTATGTAGAGGGCATAACCTCCAGCACAGTTATACAGAAATTAGAATAAGCCAATTTAGCCAATTTTTCATAAAATGGTCTGAGCTTATTATTAGAAATTTAAAAAATCCTTACATAAACTTTACGTATCCATCCAAATAACGGTTGGAAATTTAAATTTAAATTAGATTTAGTCAACCCTGATCATAAGACTCACCCATATCTCCTATTGCGCCTGGCATGCGGAGGGGCATCCTCGTTTCTGATATCATAACCATATATAGCTACCAACTCATCCCGAGATTTCGGCATCTGTTGACACAAAAAAAAATTTACTTACTTGAAATCTCATACATAACACAGTTTCAACAAAAATATAATTCCATGTTAAAAATTTATACTTTTAACGACGAGCTAACTAATCATGCATTTTTTTCCAGCCAGTTCTATCCGGGGCCATATCCTTGACCTCCCTATACGACATGACAACTAGTGTTTCTTTTTTCTGTCCCATATAGTTATTCCTCGGTCTTCCTCTTCCTCTTTTGCCCTCTATTTTTTCCTTCTACTATGCTCTTAAAAAAATTGTCATGTCGTATAAGGTGGCCCAGCATTCTGCCTCTCCTATTCTATATATATATATATATATATATATATATAAAATACTAATTTCGAATTATTGATTTAGAGAGTATTTCTATGACAAAGTTGGTTACCCTTACTATTCTCTATTCTATTATAATTAAATAAAACAGACTAGGCAGGTGCCTATATATAGGTATATTACTGTCCGACTCGACCCACTGAAACTGCGTAGAGATGTTGCATCTCTTTGCATCTTCTACCGAATTTATCATGGGGAGTGCTCTGAAGAATTGTTCGGTTTGATACCTGCTGCTAATTTTCACAATCGTACAACCCGCCATAAACTAAAATTTCATCCCAACCATCTGGACGAGGGGCGGCCCTCCACCGTGCGTTTTTCAAGGCACTTTCTCCCACGCACAACCACTCTTTGAAATCAACTTCCAGCAGCAGTATTTCCGAACCGATATTGTCATGTCATAACCTTCAAGAAAAGAGCATATTCCCTTTTAAAAGGCCGGCAGCACGCCTGCAATGCCGCTGGTGTTGTGGGTGACCATGGGCGGCGGTAGTCATTTACCATCAGGTGAGCCGCATGCTCGTATGCCCCCTGTGTTGTAAAAAAATAAAGCTCTCTAACCTGTTCATTCTCGTTGTATTTGTCGTGCGACCATTTATTGATGACGTCAGACTTGCGCGGCGGCCGGCGGCGTTCCTGCGGCGTCTCGGCGCCTTCCTTCTTCTCTGACGCTGTTTCGGATGTCGTGTTACTCGATTCTTCGCCACTATGAATATCATAATGATTTTGTAATACATACAAAAGGTTGAAATTTATTTTCGGATGCTGGTTTACGGATTTCTTTTTATTTGATTTTTATTGAGAATTTTTCAAATCCCGTCAGTACTTCTAGAAATTAATTATTTTAAACAAACTCTCTATTTTATACATTTGTCTATACCAATATATATTTTTTCCATATTAAAGATTAATTATATTCTGCAGCTACGCCTGCATAATATGTCAAAAAGTTTCCTATGTGCTATGTTAGTATATGACCTATCAAATTTCATTGGAATCTATTTAGTAGTTTTTGCATTAAAGATTAACAAATATACATCCATCAATACAAACTTTTGCTTTTATTATATTAATAGGAAATTTTTCGACGGAAAAATCTTAAATAATAATTTAAAAATAACAAAATTGATTGACAGTCAGTGAAGATAAACCATAATTAAAATGCGCAAAAAAAGTTGATTAAGGAACCTCAATTTTTGAAGTTGATTATTAAAAAATACAAAGAAGGAATAAATTATAGATTGTAAACTAAATACTGCCAATTAACTTTTAGCCAGTTTTCGTGACGAAACACGACTCTACGTGCATTGTAATACGATTCAAATTGCACCAGCACACACAGCACCCAAACAACTAATTCTTACTTCTAATTGCTAGCTTTCTACGATATTACGATAATATTCGTTCCGCGTCAGTGCGCAGTTTGGTCATTGACGTTCCGTAATGCTTGGCTTGTATAAATTATTGAACTGTTTATTTACGTTTTTCTAAAAGACGAGAATGGATTAGTTACAGCACCTATACTATCGATAGATGCAGGCAGAATGCACAGGCACGAGTAAGGTATAATAGTTTTAGTTAGAATTTACCAGGAATTAACCATAATAGTCTTTTTAATAGATGGGAATAGCACTAATAGGGAGATCAGTTAGTGGTAATTTAATTTAACCTGATAAATCAACAAGATAAATTAATTTAAGCTTAGCTCAAAACTGTGGTAAACGGTGTTGATGGCAAATTTATATCAATGTTTTCTTTGATTAACATTATGTATTATTCTTTATTTTGTAACTGTTAATTTTCCAAATGAAAAAATAAAAACTGTTGCCATTCCTGAAGACTCAGGTGTTATTCCTCTGTACCCAGAGGACTAAAATCATATTTTTTTTGCCATTACACGAGAGATTTTAAGGTATCACAGATTATACTGTGATATCCAATAAAATGTACTCAAACTGTATATTATACAGCCTGTATCTAGCAGCTTCATCCACATGAATTAATACGTAAAGGAACTTATGTACTAGATATTTTTTAATGATTGTGAATGGAATGGTATCCCTGCCTACGCTATCGGTATACACTGGTTGGGCACAAATCAGAAGTGATAGGTGCAAATAAATGCAGATCAGTTAGCCCGCCGTGAAGAATTCCAAGAGAATTAACCACGATAGTTTGCAGGGGAAACCACATGGAAGTCAACCTGATAGGTCATATTGCTAGCAATGGAGCCCGTTACTAACAATCCCTTTCTCCCCTTTGTACTAGGTTAGAATATAGATAGATAGATAGATAGATAGATGACATTTATTACCATTACTAAGAAATTAAAACAACAAAAAGGAAAAAAAAATGTACAATTAATGTTGCTGGTAATAGGAGCCGCCTCAGCTATTGCTATATATGTACAGCTCCAGCGAGATGTACCTATATAGCGCTGATTTTCAGGCGGCCCCTTAACTTCTTTACCTATATAATATAATTTCTTTACATATAACCTATGTTTGTACCAAATTTCATTAAAATCTGTTTAATATTGTTTGCATTAAAGAGTAACAATTATCAACCCATCCATCTGTACATACTTTCGCATTTAAAACATTAATAAGAATATTATTATTACCTGGCAGCGGTTCGATCGTCGTGCTCGTAAAAAGTACCACGTTTAGGGATGTATTGGGGATTGCTTCTGTCCTCATCATCATCAACCCTGCGCTCTGTCTCCTAAAATGATAGATCAAGTATTAATCACACACGTCACACTGTTTATAATTACTCTTCTCAATCCAAAGGTTACCTGGAAAAGATAGCTCTTAGCGATAAGGCCGCCTGTTGTTTTCTCAATGCAATATTTTCTTGTAATTGTTTGTATTTATAATAAGTTTATTATTGTAATCTTAAGAAGGAAAGGATAAAGACCATCTATCTACACAAATATAATTAAACATTTGTTTTAAATAAAAAACAATTTATTTCGTATTTATAACTGGTGAAACTGAATTCCAATTGGGGCATAGATTCGGAAAAAAATAACCCTTCTAAAATTAATAAAGTTTACTTGATTAAAAATTATTATTTATAAACTTTTATTTGCAACAGTCAGACTATCTGTCATGGCTAACGTGCCTATAGCATCAGAAACGACTTTACCTAAGACCTTTGTTTGTATATTCATTTTCCCATTTATTTATAAGCTTACAAATTTAATACAGTAAGAAAAGACAGAATATGAAACAAAAATTTTGAATTATAAAATCACTTGTCATAGTTAGAAATGTTATAAATATGATAGTCAAATGCAATAGGCGTGGCTGCTACTCTCATTCAAAGATTAACTACTAAATATATAATCTTAAAACTCTTGTATTATATATATAATTTGTATTGGATATTATTTAGTTTATCTCCAGCTGTACGGTTATTACCCTTGTACTTTTTATTTTTTTACAACACAGGGGCAAACTAGCATGCGGCTCACCTGATGGTAAGTGACTACCGCCACCCGTTTAGTTTTCTTTGAGCTTCTCAAAGATTGACTGTAAGAGATCCCTTTAGGGGATAAGTCCGCCATTGTATAGTAAATCTTTTAATGTATCCAATATAAATTATATACAATATAGATGTTACAATACAATACTCTTCTGACTTTTTATTTATTCCATAAAAGCCCCACGAATAAGTGATACATGAATCTATCAATAGATAATTATCACTGCCATAGATATGGGATAAAATAAGACAGCAACATCTGGTATCTTATTCCTTCTCATGTGTATGGTTAAAAAAAATCATATCTTCTAATGTTTATTAATTTTTAGATTTCATATTGCATGGTTTATGGTTTATAAGAGACTAGCGACCCTCCCCGGCTTCGCATGGGTGCAATGCAACCACTATGTCCCTGCATTTTAAATCTGTAATATCTTCAAAAATATTTATTTAAATTACAAGCAGTAAAGAGCCATATGACCTATATTAAATGCACAATGTAGTTAATTGGATAAGGATTAAAGCTGTATTGCTTAAAATTGCTTTGTAAATAAAGCATTATGAATGGTTATTGTGGGTTAACCTTAAGAATATATTGTCATAAACTTTTTTGTAGAAGTTTTTAAGGTATATAAATACTGTAGTACATTATTTTGATCTATCTATCCCATAGGGTTCAGCCAGTATTTACAATGTAAGCGCAAAAAATGTGTGTAATACAACATCAGATTATATACCTCTAAAATTGTCAGTGTTTCTCTACTATATTATGCATGTATTATACATATAAACCTTCCTCTCGAATAACTCTATCAACTAAAAAACAAACGCATTTAAATCAATTGCATAGTTATAAAGATCTAAGCATACTTAGGGACAGGGATACAGATGAGAAGCGACTTTGTTTTATACTATGTAGTGATAATGGGAAATAACCGAGCCAATGTAACCTAGTCAAAATGTCATGATAAACCAAGAAAATTATCGTATTACTTCTAATGTTTGTTTTACAACTTTAAAGAATCATAATAAAAAGTTAATATAGTAAGGAGCTTCTATAACATATTTATGCAAATCGAAACTTATTGGGCATAAAACTCTTAAATATTCCTTCTCTTACAATAGTGTCCTATAGTCAATTTATTTATAAAAAAAACACATGTAAAAATCTTACATTGTAAATACAATAGTTTGTTAATAACTGATAAGCATAAGCATAAGAAGCAAACTAGAATAGACTTACAAATTAGAAAGTTATATAGAAGTACAAAAATACAATGTGATTGTAGCATATCAAATGACAATTGTTTTGTACTTTAAAAACATATATAGAAGTGTCACATATTAACATACTTTTGTAGATCATATGCAATGGCATACAATTTCTACTGTAAATAGGCACCCACCAGCTTTTAATCACAAGGTTATATATATATTATATACAATTAATATATTATTACCTGGTTCTCTGGATCTCTTTCAGAGCGGTCAGAATCACTTCCCTGAGAGTCATAATCAGATTCGTGCTGGCCTCCCTCCTGCAAACATTCAGCAACCTTCAACAACTGCATTTTCACAACCACCAAAATAAAGGAATGTTTACAAACGACGTGGCACTTCTAATTTTAGGTGTAAACGCATCAAAGACGTCTCAGTGAGTGGTGTCTGAACCGTGACCTCAATATCACGAAAAGAAATGGGCATACCGACACGCGAGTGCGCGGGAGAAAGTGCCGACGAACGAACCACTTTTAACGTCAAAACGAAAGTTATTTCTCTTAATAAGCCATTGTGCCCTGTCGTTTAAATGTTCTACTCACGTTTCCCGAGTTATTGTGCTCGATATCTTGCGATGCATCCGAGTATTCCCCGGAATCATCTTGCTCCTGCCTTCTTACTACGGACGTCATATTGGCGTCCTCACGAGTCACTTGTAGTACTTCCAGATTGACGACTTTAAATATCAGACAAATTAACAAATACTAATTGGCGAGTAACGTGGTTGATTTCAATTGTTAAAATGGAAATCCACTCTTCACAAGGAAAATGAAGGAATGTCAAAACAAGGAATTGGTAGCCATAATGCCATAAAAAAAACGCGTTTCGTTAAACGCAGTCAACCGGCAGCATTTAATAATTTAGACAAAGAATCTAAAATTGGTCGCTGACACATAAACTATAATAAATAAAAAATTAAACTTTTTCGTTATTAAAAGTTATTACTTAGGATTCAAAATCGTAATAAATTTATCTCTATATTTCATTTAAAAGGAGAGCCAAAAAACTATTTTAAATAAAGAATAAAAATTCTGGTGCTTTTATTATTTGCTAATTGAACAAGTCAAATTTGCATTTATAGTAATTTTTTCTCCTCTTTCTTATGAAATTGTCGGTTTTTGTTTAAAACCTATAGTTTTAAAAATAATTCTATTATACCTAATCACACTTAACAAAAATATTAAAATTATCATGTGAAAATAGTTTTAAGTTGAATTAAAACTATTTTATTGAACTATTGAAGAAAAACAATGTTGTGTATTTTACGCTATAAAAAAATAATCGCTATTAAATGGTGTAAAAGGGTTCAAATCTAACTGATTCATTTTACACAAAAATAAATTCATATTTGAAGGGTGGTTCTAAGTATCTTGTCATTTTTGGCACTATTTTTGTAAAATATTGTAGTTTTATTTCTAATTATGACTTTTTTACCACAAATATTTTGTTAATTGTAGCCTTTTACATGTTTACTATCTCTATTGTTTTTAAAGATATCGTTACGATTCTTATACCATTCGAAAGAGAAAAATTTGCTTATTTAAAGTAGCTTGAATGACTAACAACAAATAACTTGAGTTATACCCTTTCTCACTAGAGGCACAGATATGTTATGTCTGTTGAAATAACTAACCAATAAAAAATTAAAAAAAAAAATTATCATGTGAGAACTTTGGAATGTACTCATGTATTCTAACACTCTTATTATATGTAGCATCAATAACTCCGTAAACTCTTCATAAACAAAAATTTATTATGATTTTTCCTTAATCGCAAAATTGAAATCTAGAGGTAAAAGATTATATTAATTCATGACGATAATTTTATTTCTCAAATCGTACATCAAAAGCAGCATCGTCAAGTACTGGCTAATCTTTTATTTAGATAATACAAAATGAAGATTATAATAACAAATATGTTACTATTTTTGATGAACACCTACAATAAGTAATTGTTATTACATAGTAGGAATAACTTCCAGTTTTAATTTTACAATTTTTCCAGAGGCAAACTAAGAAAAATATTCGCATATGTCTGTAGAGTCTTTTTCGCGAAAGTAGTCTAGGTACTTCTAGTGTTCTACTTTAGGTCTGTTGTAATATTTTTTTTTAGTACGTTTGTTCCATTGTGGAACAGGCTAAGGTCGGAGACCATGCTGCCTAGCCTTCAATATGATAATTTTGTTGTAATAAGTGACACTTGACAGCTAATAACCGGGTCCATATCACTCTAGATAAAAACCGTTTGTATGATTTCTATGTAAGTAGTCCAAAGAATTGGTAAAATTAAAATATAAAGTAACTAGGCCTTTTATGAGACCTATTGCATATGGATACCAAATTTGGGCCTAAAACATATTTTAATTTACACAAATATATAAAATGTGGTATATTTTACACCACTACTATAGCATGAATAAAATACTGGATAATGCAGATATCTTTTATTTCATCTATATCGGCAGAAAAATAGGAACACAATGATAGCAATTTAAAACAAAAGATAATATAAAATAAGTAGAGAAATATGATGGCTAAATACACCACAGGATTTTTATACTTATTTACAATTTTGAATGCAAGGAAAGAACTAAAGAGAAACTCCATTTTTATCCAACTTATTTCTCCAAGATTTTATTATATTATTATTAAATATTTTATATTATATAGCTAAAATATAAATAGTATTTATTCTATAAGTTTGATATAAAACAAATAATAAAGAGATGGCGCTCACTAATTAAGGATTACATAAAATAATTTACCAATTTAGTTCTTTAATTAATGTATAGTGAGTGCCATCTCTTTATTATTTGTTTTATATAGAACTTTTAGAATAAATATAAATTGCAATTTATTTGTTATTCTTTAATCGTAGTGTCTTTAATCTGTATTTTTTATGCTTTATATTTTTTTATTTCATTTTTATTCATTGTTAGTTCCTGTACAATATCCAATTCAATGGCGGGGTAAGTTTAATCACTATATGTGTATCTCATATTATTAAGTAGTCTACAGAGCTTATATTAAAAGAGCCAACAGGATTGGAAGATGAAAAAGCAAAACCTCTAAAACGTAGGCTAAATGGCAACAGTCATAATAATTTATAAATGAATGAATGAATGAGAACAGATAAATAAAAAAACTGTAGATTTTAAGATAGATACTGGTAGCGACTGTGATATTTTACCTTTAAATATTATTAAAAAGTTAAAATCAGTATACCTATATACTATGTACTTACACTTACAATAAATTGTATGTTGATTAATAATAAAAAGGCCAATCTTAGGTCACAGCACTGTTTTAAATTTACGATTAATGGAAAGAAAATATTTAAATAAAATTATTAAAGACAAGTAATTACAGTGAATTTTTATCTGAGTAGGAAGAATTACTTGATGAAAATAAAATAGATACTATGAAAGGTGTTAAATATAATATACATTTAAAAGAATAACTCAGGTTCTCCAAATTTATACAAAGTTTTGACTGAAACAGAACAGGAATAAGATAGAAATAAAAAACTTTTAATAGGAAGAAAGAATAAGGATAAATTTGAAAATTTCTCCCATGCACAACCACTCTGGAATCAACTTCCAACAACAGTATTTCCGAACTGATATGACCACATAACCTTCAAGAAAAGAGCATATTCCCTTTTAAAAGGCCGGCAGCACACCTGCAATGCTGTTGGTGTTGTGGGTGACCATGGGTGGCGGTAGGCATTTACCATCAGATGAGCCGCATGCTCATTTGCCCCCTGTGTTGTAAAAAGAAATCAAAAATACACTTTTCTGCTTTGTCAGAAACCATAGTATAAATAATGAAAGTGCTCAACAGTTTCATTTAGAAAGGCCCAAACGTATGGCTCGTAACGGGCCAAAACATGTGGCATAGAACAGAGCAGCAAGTGTCTTCTAACTCCATTAAATAAAATAGACAAAAAATAACCCTTTAAATTGACAGTAAAGACAGTAATAAAAACAAATTATCAGTAAATCATGATAAAACTATAATCATCCCATTTACAGAAAGGAGGTAAACAAATAACGCCTACAGTAAATGGCAAAATGATTAACTTCTCCAAAGAAGTACCTGGGCATATTCATCGACCAAAAATTTACATGAAATCCATACGTTATCTATATGTGGATTTCATGTCAGTTTTTAGTCAATGAATATGCCCAGGCTTTGTAAAAGGCTAAAATTGCACTTGGCATTATGCAAACTTTAAAAAAAGTGTGTACAATGGATCTATAGAGGTGTGAATCTCAGTGTTATAGGTTTTTCTGCTTGACACAGCCAATTACTCTATAGTGATATTACTCTATATCAGTGATTCTCAACCACTGTGCCGCGGCACTTTTGTGTGCCGCCAAATTTTAAGTGTGCCGCTAAATTTTGCAAATATTTAAAATTTTTGTCATAAACTATTTATGCAGTGTGTTGTAGTAAGTAAATAATTTTTATCTTATCCTTTGTGTGCTGCCAAATTTTGAAATCGTTAAATATGTGCCGCAACAAAAAAAAAAAGGTTGAGAATCACTGCTCTATATTGTTATTCTACAAAGTATTTATATTTTAGGACGAATCCTACAACTCCTGAGGAAATAAACACTATCCAACTCTTGGCCAAAGGAGTAATGGAAATCTATGAGCCACCATTAGCAACCATTAATACTCATTTAAAAGAATTAACGTAAGTATAATATTAAAATTACATTAACCATGATATGGTATGTATTTATGCTTATACTTAATATAATCTAAATGTTTTATTTTAGTGAAAAGCAAGAAGCTGTACACAATATGCTAGTTTCTGAGAGGAGAAGGCTTGAAGATCTACAGAATGATGCAATGCTTGATGCACTGGTAATTCTTTTTTTTTCTATTTATACAACAGAACAAAAGCATGTTTTTTTTTATACAACTTAGAATGGCAAACAAGCTGACAGCCCACCTGATGGAAAGTGGTAACTGTCGCCTATAGACATGAGCAGTACCATGGACATAACGGAGTATACTGTTTTGACCATGATACCCCCCATGCGTTGCCATTCCTGAGGACTCAGGTGTTTTTCCTCTGTACCAATTACATATCCTTTTTTTAATGGATGATAATAGAATGGTAATCCTATCTGAGTAAAGAAAAAAAGAATTGTTACTAATAGGTCCATTGCTAGCTATATATCTTTGCTAATAATGGAGCTTATGTCTGGGTTGTTTTTATGTGGTTGATCCTGGAAATCATTGTGGTTAAATCTTGATAAATTTGTCACGATGAGCTAACTGTCCTGCTTAATAAAAACCTATCATCACTCACTGGTGCCCCGTTAGTATATACAGAGAACGCAGCTAGATTACATTTAACAGCCTATCCTGGAGATTTCATCAAGAATAAACCACAATGTTTTCCAAAGGGAACTGCATGAAGCTATATTGCTAGCAATACAATATTAGGGTATCCTCTGAGATATGGGAATAATTTAAATAAATATCTGGGTTATGAACCAGGAACAAAATTGAATCAATTTAAAAAATATACAAGAAAAAACAAAAAATATAATATTTCAGAATAATTTCCTTAAAAAAAGATGGCGTCGCTAAAAATCGAGACTGCCTGTTTCTATTTTATTGCATTGTCTATGGCATTTGATCATGTTTTAATCAACACAACCACATCTCAGTTTATTGGTTTATCCTTAAAAAGGCAGAACTCTCATTTTAATACTATAATACTTTTAATACTTCAGCTTGCAGACATAGCAACAAGTAGAGAGAAGTTGACGTCAATATCTAATTCAATGATGGGACTACACAAAAGGGTGCAATCGTTACAGGTAAAATTAAAAAATCAAGACGTTATTCGTTTTTTTATGCAACTTACAATGGCTAACAAGCTGACGACCTACCTGATGGAAAGTGGTAACCGTCGCCTATAGACATGAACAGTAATATGGTCATAACAAAGTATACTGTTTCGCTCATGATACCCCCCATGCCTTGCCATTTCTGAGGACTCAGGTGTTAAGCCTCTGTACCTTGTAAATTCACCGCCATATCCCACCCTTCCAACCGAAACATTCATAAAAGGTTCTTGAAACAATATATTATTTATTTCAGACTAGAGCAGCCAACGTTGAGAAAGCTGCTAAAAACAAGGCGGCAAGTCAGAATCACGCTTCAAAAAGCTAGTAGCAAATACGTACTTAATTCATTTGGCACTGAACTATGATAAAGACTGTATTTAAATTATGGCAAATTTTAAATCAGTTTATATTTACAGTATATGTACTCAAATACTATTTAATTAATATATGAATAATTAATATTTTGTTAGAACAATGACCAAATATATATATAAGATTTAATTTTACTGATATAGTTGTTTTATATGTAGGATGATAATCCGTTCTGATTTGAATGGATATGTCTGGCCTTCTCTGTTTATTAATTTATTCCAAGGAGTTTTTAATTACATGTTTTTTTTTTCAATTTTATATCTGCCCAAAATCTATTTTGATTATGGCAGCCCCACATAAAAAGAAGACTTGATATGCACACAGTTTTTAATCATAATAGTGAACATAATTGAGTTATCTCAAATTTGTTTATTGCGATAATTCACTTGTTTAGTGTTTTTTTTTATTTCTTTATAAGTATAACATATTTGATATATTATTATTTATTAATTTATTTAATAAGTTTAGATGTTTTCTATTAGTTTTTGTATAAAAAAAATTGTATACACTATAGCAAAATATGTTTACGAGTTATTTATTTATATAAAATATTAAATAAAAAGAGAGAATGTCGAAAATGAGCGATATTATCAAATAAATCTGAACAGTTTACCTCTTTAAAGGTACTTGATTTTTTTAAATTGGATCGAATTAGTGTTGTTATTTTCCATAATATATATATATATATATATATATATATATATATATATATATATATATATATATATATATATATATATATATATATTAAGATTTCTTCAGAATCAGCAATACGTACGTGACATCCCTAGTGTTGCAGGCGTCCATAGGCTACAGTGACCGTTTACTATCAGTTGGGCTGTATGCATGTTTGCCACCTTCACAGTATATTAAAAAAAAAAAAAACAAAGGGGGAAATATTAATTATTAAATGAAAATAACATGTTTATATTTAAAGTTTATTAACATTGTTACATGTACTGTTTTAATGAACAATAAATAATGTTACTGTTTATAACTATTTAGATTATTCTTAGATATTTTAGAAACAAAGATATTAACTCGTCTATTTGATGTTATGAGTATAAAATATTTTGAAAATTATAACTTGGTCATAACAATGGTGTGATATCTATTTCAGTTTGCATTCCATTTAAACTAAACAATTTTTTTTTTTTCTATAATCTAAAAGCATTATTTTAATAATGAGATATTTGTATGTTACTTAAATCTAAATTGTGTTATGTCGCACCTAAGACTAGTTGTTTTTATGTTTTTTAAGTTCACATTTTCACTTAATTTAATGTAAGTAATATTAAATACATCTTACTTGTAAACATTTTTAAACAATTATAGTTAACGCATGTTGAACAAGTTATGTACAATCATTTAAGAATACATACAAGCAATGATGTTAAACCTAAAACTTTAAATGGCAGTTAAAGATTCACAAAATACAGTAAACAATACTGTACGATAATATTATAGAAAATAAAAGCATTTTTTTTGTCAATTTTCTTTTAATTTATTAAATATATTGCTGGAATTAACAATACTATTCATATAATACAAGTCTTACAGACTTAACTCGATATTATAAAGCAATTATTGGCAATTTTGAATAAATAAGTACAAATAAGTCGAATGTATACTTAAAGTGCTTAATATCTTTACGAACTAAGGCACTAATTCCAGCATTACTACATAGAACATTGATATGATAATAACTTCCTTCGATTTATAAATATTCTACGTCCAATATAAAAATATACTTTCTTACATACCTAATCGGTCGGAGATCGTACTCTAGTACTATGCATCGACATACACGCTGCGTTAGATCATACAAACGGAATAACCTGCGAGACAGGATCGAATACAAAATGTTTCTTTGCAAAATGATGATTACTAAGAGTAATTTTTTAATAAAAAAAAAAAATTTAAAGCCAAATAACAATACATTTATAGAAATTTTAGAATACAAAAATAAACATAATATTTTAAATAACACGTTTAAAGATCTATATCGCAATGTATACGATTTTTTTTTCAAGTAATTTTCAAAGTATACAAATAACAACAAAATTTGGAAAACATTTTCACATGGAAATTACTTGAAAATATGTAATTTTAAAATTTTATAACACGAAAACTTACTGCTCGTAAGTTTTTAAGTATTTAGGGAAAATGCAGACGAATATAGATGTTGTTGACGGTGAATTCCAAATTTCTTTTTGTAAAATATTTAAATGCTTACAATAAAGCAGGTCATACGTGTAGGATTCGTACTGTTTAACAACGTTACCTCAACTGGGGTAACGTTATTAATTATATTAAGTACCTCCTTTATATTAAAGTAACTATAAGTTCGTTTAGTTCTCTATGATAAAGTATTATTGGTAGTCATTTATACTATATTAGAGTCCTACGATTAAAAAAAAAATAAGCTATAATCGAGATTTACTCGTCTACATTTCCCTAATTATCGGGATGCATACCGTAATACTGCCAACGTCTATGTTATCTCTAATATTTCAAAGCTTCGATAATGTATTAACGAATAATATTTATACACTAAATTTTTTTCTTTACACTGTATTTTAAACTGAATGCACACTTAAATGCTATGTAAATGTGTGTCATACAAATTTCGAAGAAAAATTTTATTTTCGTATCCTAACAATTGTCTTTAAATTATGCAAGTAATAAAAACATTGTCAGTTTCACAATACGCGACCATTTAACCAAAATTCCTTGTGCTATTTAACAAAATGTATCCCTTTCTGGTCTTCACCCTTCTGGTCGTCACACACAGCGGTGTGATGAGGTGTGTTCTCGTATGTTATTTCTTGGCGTTGATGACGTCACTGAGTACAGTCACCACAAAGGATTCGATGCCAGACTCGTTCTCGCCACGGGCGATGTGGAAATATCCATCTATACCCCATTCCCGGCCCCAGCTGTTAGCGACAATCTGGAAATGAGACAGTAATTCTTTATCATTCTGAAGTAATGTTGTAATAACCAAATTCGTATGTTATATTTCCTATATAGATGCTGTACAGAAGTCGTCTGCTCAAGTGGGGTACTTCTATTAATTTTGTGGTAATGTCATTAATTATAGATACTTGAAAAAAAAATCAGTCTGGATTAGTTATCACTATTTTATTCGTATCTCTACTGCAAAATATTTATGTTTTGAAGGTTTTTCGAATATTATTTTAGGAAAAAACACCCACTGTTGAAAAGCTCACTTAAAATGTTTCTGATAATTTTGATTTCATACTGTATACGTCCTTACCCAAATGTAAATCTTACCCAATATTTGTCGCCTCTATTCTCGCCCCAGCCTACTATCCTGACGCTGTGCAGACCTTGCAGCTGGTTATCACCATACCTCGTGTGGCGATATACACCGTCGCGATAGTGGAAGAAATCTTGATATACCGTCATTACAGCTGGGGGAAAAAAGTTGATTACTACTTCACAGGCGTCTATTCTTACTATCTCGGGGGGATTGTTAGTAATGGGGATTTATACTACTACCATTACTAGCAATATACCCTATCAGGTTGACTTCCACGCGATTCCCCCTGGAAACTATCGTGATTTTTTTTTTATGCGTGAAAATGGCATGGTTACCCCGCCTGCGCTATAGGTATATACGGTATACACTAGCGGGGTACCAGTGAGAGGTGATAGGCGAGGATGAAAAGGTAGGTGCCTTAGCCTATTGTGACGAATTCAATGATAAATTGGTCACGATAGTTTCCAGGGGGAATAGCATGGAGGTCGACCTGATACGGTATATTGATAGGAATGGGGACTAAACTCCTCATTACTAACAATCACTTCCCCCCAAACTATCGTGGTCAATTCTTGTAAAATTCCTCACCAAGGCCTAACTGACCTGCTTTCATTCTTACCTATCATCCCTCGCCGGTGCCCTGCCAGCGTTTACCGATAGCGCAGGCGGGGTTACCATGCCATTATCATCCCTCGAAAAAAAGCTTTTACCACCTTCACCTCACTTAGTTTTCGCGACGAATTATCTTTTAAAAACTCCATTATTTTTTTTAACAAGCAATTACTGTCACCAACTCACCATGCACGGGTCCAGACTCCATAATATCGTACATGATGTCCAGTTCCTTCTTCAGCTTGCCAGGCGGTCCAACCTTGTAGCGGGTTGTTCTCTCAGGGACGGAAGGTGTGCAGAAGATTGGCAGATTGTCACTCTTCGGTTTCACTGGACATTTCGTTACTTTAGCCTCGTAAGGGAAGCAATTGTCGTCCAATAATCTGTACATGTTAATATTATTATTATACAAAGATGATAGAGAAATTACAGAAGATGTTTGTTTGATGGCTGTATTGTAAATAATGTAGGTATCTTATATATCCGAGCACTTTTCTGTTAGATGTGGTGGGATATCGTTCCCTAGATGTAAGGCGACTTGTCTCTCTGTTGGATTACTTGTACAATACAATCACTACATAGTATAAAACAAAGTCGCTGTCTGTCCGTCCCTATGTATGCTTAAATCTTTAAAACTACGCAACGGATTTTGAAGCGGTTTTTTTAATAGATAGAGTGATTCAAGCGGAAGGTTTATATGTATAATATTGTAGAGAAACATTGATAAATTTAGAGGTTTCTAATGTGATGTCGTAAATAAATACATTTTTTGCGCTTACATTGCAAACGCTGGCTGAACCCCACGGTAAATCAAAATAATGTACTACAATATTATTCACTTTAAAAACCTTTTTAAAGTGTAAAATACAATTGTTGACTTTAACAAAAAAGTTGGCGATGGTATATGTCTATTTCTTAAGGATATCCAACAATAACCATTTATCCTTTACATTTTACGGGAAAAATGGCTTTACGAAGTGATTTTAAGCAATACAGCATTAATTTTTATCCAATTAAGTATTAAGTACCTTAAATACATTGTTCATTTAATATAGATCAATATGGCTCTTTACAGCATGTAATTTAAAAAATTCAAAAAATTCAAAATTCAAAAATCATTTATTCATGAAGGACATTTTAGCCGCTTATGAACGTAAAATTTTTACATTATAATTTTATTTTTTTCCCTACCGTCCAGTTCGGTATATAGATCCAATTGAGAAGAACTGGCAAGAAACTCAATTGAATTACTTTTTTTTTAAAGCCAGTTTATTTACAATGTTTATTTATATAGGTGTCTATGTCTAACATTAAATGAAAATTCAGTGCATGAACAACTATTGCCATGCACACTCGTCATTTAATCGTTTAGTGAGTAATGAATATGATTTAACAGATGTTTTGAATTTATTTAAGATATTCCTTTGGTATCTTAGATTTAAATGACCTATTAACTTTTTCTAAACGATACTTGGGGACAGCAAGTTTCAAATTAATATTTAATATTATATAATATATAATATTTTAAATTAATATTTCCGGTGATGACATTGCACATTACCGTGCGAAGCCGGGCCGGGGCACTAGTTAGAGGAATAAAGTACAAAGTACGAAGGCGTTACGTCTGTTCAGTGAGGCAGTATCGAGTTTCGAACTGAACTTTTTTCATTGTACTGCCACAGAGTTTCGCAGAGTGGTGACAAATTACGCAGAAATGCATTTTTAATATTTATTTTTTATAGTACAATTAGATTTTTTTTATTCTAACTATTATTTTCCCATTATTGTATTATTATAATGATTAAATTTTTTTTAGTTTTGTTCAGTGCATTGGTAAATCTGCAAAGCTCACAGAAAAATATGTATATATATATATATATATTATAAATAAATAAATTATGCTAGATATCATTCAAGTCCACTCCTTGTCCATCAATTTGAAGTGTCTATAATTTAAAATATTGTTCCACTAAAACAAAACATTACTTAAATCGTGAAAAAACCAAATTATTATATTTATTATTATGATTTTTTGATCAAAACCTAAACTTCTGAAGCCCTAACCTAATCTTCTAATTCTTATTTTTTAATCGATTTCAAAATAGAAGTAAGATCTCAATACTGTTTCTGTTTTTTTTTATGTTACCTCATAATTTCGTTATCTATAAATTGATTAGGTTAATTTTTTTTTATCTAAATCAAATTGGTCCCAGAGATTTTTTTATTTCGAAAACGGTTTAATAGTTTAGTTTTTAAATAAAAATTACTGGTCTTATCATTATTGAAGTAATGCTTTTTTTTTTGTGGAACAAAATCTTACTTAATTTATTTTAGAAACCCAATTTATAATTATCGACCTTATGGATCCGGCATGGGCGATATCAAACTTGGTGTATGAGTAAGTAACACCAATATAGATAATGACCTATTTTCATAAGTCGTTAGAGGGAGGCACCTTCTTAAAACCTTGCCCAGGAACGCCAGGTACACTAATGACGGTCCTAGGTGACGTCTCACAGGGAACATCGAATGACGGTTGAATAATGCAGCTTATAGTGGCGTTCTTTCCGAGAAGTTGCTGAGACGCCTTACTATAATCTATTATTATTATTATAATTTCTATCTATTCTCCTTTAACCAAAGGTTGTCTGTAAGAGATTGTCCTAGCGATAAGACCGCCTTTTTTACCTTTATGTGTATATTTCAATCTGTATTTATGTTACTGTATTTCACTTGAATTATTCATTTGTCATTGTATATTTTTGTTTATAGTGCAATAAAGAGTTAAATAAATGAATATGATCTACTTATATTCCATCATCTCATATTTAATGATGACTTTATACCAGAGTCCTGTACATGAATCGTTTGCTTGGGTGCTTTTGTCTTGTTTTTCTCCCGTGAAACAGTTGTGTTTGCATGACTGCGTTTCGATTTGAAGGGTGATATATGGCAATAAAATTATAGGGTACAGAGTCATAACACCTTATTCCTCAGGAATGGCAACGCATGAAGGGTATTATGGGCGACACAGTATAGTCTGTTATGTCCATGATACTGATCGTATTTATAGGTGACGATTATTATTTTCCATTTAAGTGGACCGTCTAAAAAAAAAGAATAATTAAGCATGAACAACATCATGAATCTGATGTCTATGGTAATACAATAAGGCATTTCCACTCCTGAGAATTTCTTAATCCTCTATTAAAAAGTTTACGTACCCATCTTCCCTAACGTAGTTCCACGCAGCATCAATATGGCCTCCATCACATCCCCTCTGGTACCGCCTGTTGCAAGACAGAAGTGTCTGTGGACTGAGCAGTATTTTCTCCATGCCGTTTGACTGGATTGCAAATCTGAAAAATAAATTTAGCAGCGTTTAAATTTGAAACATAGATATTTACCTACCTACATATTAGGTATGCAATTTTAATAAAGATGTTAATACTTTTTGTTAAATAACATTCAAGAAATAAAAAAAAATTACGTAGTAAACAGAATTTTTAATTACCTAACAACAAATTAAATAAATAAATAAAAAAAAACTTTTTTTTTCTTATATATAATTGAACCATAAATTACATTTAAAAAAAAAAAACAAAATTTGTTTTCTTAAATATAATTGTGAGAGTCTAAAAAGTGATAAATAAAGACATTAATTAATTTCTATTCTATATTATTATTTTATGATAGTTGCATGTACAAAAATGTTACATAGTTCTGTTTATATTTTAAAAGAGTAACTGTTGTGTTTCTTGTGGGCTCTTTTCGACATATAACGTTCCGAACCTTGCAGTATAGATTAAAAAAAATAATGACGATTTAAATGTGCTTTTAAACAAGTCTATTTGAATAAACATCTTTTCTATGGACTTTTTTTTTTCATTTATTGCGACTTAGGCGAAAGCCATCAGCCAAAAAGTAACAATTACAATGTAACAGAACATAAAATTACAAGACAAATTACAAAAATTACAATGGTTATTTTTTTTTCCATAGACTATTGTCTTTTTTTTATCTGCCATTTTTTTTTCTTATTTTCGATTTTTATTTTTTAATAAACACCCAAGAAACAAGCTCAGTGTTAGTTTCCTAAACCTGACAACGTCGTGATGTCTGGGTTTTTCCAGCGCATGCCACTTCACAAATTGTAAGCACTAATTACCGCTGAATAATTAAAAGCGTCGGTTATTCGACACTGAAGCTAAAAAGCAAAATTAGCGTCCGCCGTTAATTAGGATTTGTTTAGATTGAGCGGAGTGCATGGTGGCATGCACTGTAATATTTTCTCTTTGTTTATCTAATTCTGCACGCATCATATAGGTCTGCTCTAGATAACTGCGACTGATTTATGCCGTGTTAGTAATTTGTATTCTCATAAAATTCTAAACTTGTTTTTTTTTTCTGTTCGAAAAAAGCAACAGTCAAATCACTTATAGATATTTACTTTTGTAGAAAAATAAAATCATGTGGTTACATTATTTATATTATATAATTGTGAATTTAAATAAATAAATAAAATATTGTCTCAATATATAGATTAATAATTTAAATAACTATATGTGGGACTAAGTCACATTAGAATTAGACATTTTTTGAAAATGGTTTATCAAAAATCTTCACGGGATATTATAGTGTTTATATTCATATTGAAAAATTAATAATACGATATATGGTATAGGAAAAAGATTAGATAATTCTTTTATCTAATTTGCAAAAATTGGTATGAACGTATAGGCATAGAAAAAATATTACGTTTTGCTTTTTTTAATCTAAAAACTGATCATAAACTTAAGATACGGTTATTGTAACAGATTTAAAATGTAGGCAATCTATTTGAAATTATTTATAATTGTAAGAAAATCATAATAATTTTAAACAAATCTGCACGGGATCAATAAAACATATTTTTTTTTATTGGTGGTTATTAAAAAAAAAAATGGATCAGAATTGGCAAAGGTATAATAAAACACAATGCTTAATTTGTACCAAGAAATTTTTAATTATATTACTTCAACAATTGGTGAAATTTAAATATGTAATTGTAACTTATACTTTTCTACTTAACTTACTTTCTTAGTATATTATAATTAATTTATAACTATAATAATTTTTGTAATTTATCTTGTAATTTTATATTGTTACCTTGTAATTGTTACTTTTTGGCTGATGGCTTTCGCCAAAGTCACAATAAATGAAAAAAAAAAAAAACACAATGCTTAATATAGAAAACTTTCAAAGTTAGAGTGAATAAGCACTATTTCAGTTTGACATCATCGTCGATTAAGATCAGGTAAGATTGTAGTCAACGCGCACAAATTTAATATCTATAAAAAAAAAAAAAACAATAGACAACCTCCTTTATTGTGACCTGTTAAAAATAGCATTATCATCAATGAAATGGCGCGAAGTTTTTACTGAATTCTAAATTTAAAATTATTAATGAAATAAATCATTCCACGGCACGATTTAGTCACGCCCGGTCTATTATGAATGGGTCTCAACGTAAACACAGACGACGCGGCATTAGCTCCTGTTTGTTTACTTGTTCACCCACCCTTGAAGTGAGCTCACCGTCATATTCAATTGCATTGCATAATACAAACGCTGTGCTTCACAATTTACACGTGGATGACGTTATTTTGTATTTACATCATCTTTATTATAAAAATGAATCGCTAAATACATTGTTAAGTGCGAAATTCGAGAACGATTGGATAAATTTTGAATATTTTCAACCGATTTTAAAAAGAAGGCAGTTCTCAATTCGATTGTATTTATTTGTTTATTACTCTTAACTGAATCAGTTCTAAATTGATTTGCTTTTTTTTTTTAATGAAAGGATATACTTGGAGATTGGTCTCAATTTTATCAATATTGATTCACTAACTTTATTTTTAAATCTAAATGTTTTGCTTAATGTTTTGTAAGTAACGGCGAAATTTCCATTGGAAACAGTGAACAGATAAAAGGCCTGTATAAAAGCCAAAGGTGACCATTTGGAATAGATTTTTTTTTTATTTTTTATTTTATTTTTGCTGAGACTTTAGTCATTTAATAAATATGTTAGTATAAATTTTAGTAATATTACATTATTTCATTAAAAAAAAAAATGCATTTTCATTTGTAAAAGAACTTATGGCTAAATAACTTAAATAACTATATACATATGTATGTAGTTATTTGACTATCTACTGAGAAACAGGCGCAACTAAATCTATGTAAAATTTATTAATTATTATGTAATATTTTATACAACTTAGAATGGCAAACAAGCTGAGGGTCCACCTGATGGAAAGTGGTAATCGTCGCCTATAGACATGAGCAGTACCATGGACATAACAGAGTATACTGTTTCGCCCATGATACCCCCCATGCGTTGCCATTCCCGAGGACTCATGTGTTATTCCTCTGTCCCCTGTAAACTCACTGCCATATCCCACCCTTCAATCCGAAACACAGCCATGCAAACACAATGTTTGTGGTCGAACTCGTCCAAAACAAGTCGATCGATTTTTATGAAATTTTTTATGTGTATTTTAATGAGAATAGCTCGTAGCTATACTTAATACCGCTACGTGATTAGGATGTCCCTATCTCTAATTTATATGACAGAACAACCGGATCACCTTGTATATGTACAAAACAATATCTGACTCCAAGTATATCGAACCGGTGTAATCAACAAGTTTCCAACGATAATTGGATTTTAGTTATGCATTTTAATATGATACAGTAAAGTAGATAGAATATTATCTATCGGAGTGTACAAATATTTAATATTCATAAGGAAAGGAACGTATCAGCTTATTATAAATAAAAGTAACTATACTGTAGGCTTATCCTAAGATACGTATTAAGGCCGATTGCAAACGTTAAAAAAGTAAAACAAAAGTTCCACAAAAAAGTCGACTTCAGTTGTGGCAAGACAAGTTATTTTGATTTCGAAATTAAATTACAGAACCGATTTTGATGAAATTTCTAAGAGACCAATATGTATGTATTTTTTTTAATGGATGATAATGAAATGATATTCAGTTTATAATTACTGCTCTCCATCCAAAGGTGGCCTGGAAGAGATCGCTCTTAGCAATAAGGTCGCCCATTGTTTTCTCATTGTGATTATTTCTTGTAATTATTTATATTTATAATAAGTTTACTATTGTAATCTTTTTGGAGGAAACAATAAAGAGTATCTATCCCTGTCTGCGCTAACAGTATACGCTGGTGGGACATCAGTGAGGGATGATAGGTGGGATGAAAGGGCATATAATAATACACCTAGAATTCAGCACGACAGTTTCCAGGGGGGACCACGTGGAGGTCGACCTGATAGAGTATATTGCTAGCAATGGAACTGGTAGTCCCTATTACTAACAATCCCTTTTCCCCCTAATATATAAGTATTAGGCATGGGTAATATGGGTACCGATCCGATATTTATATATTGGATTCTCCTAGACATTGATGACGGAAAAAAGGTCATCACCCATCTCGATATCGCCCATATCGGTTGGATATTTATTTTTGAATATGTTAAAAGTTTGCTAGCTAGAGGCATTTGTCGACTGTTGTCCTTGTAGTGAACTTAATTCTCGGAATAACAATATTATTTACATGAATAGAGCCTTTGCAATAAGCAATAAATCTCTAAAAATAGTTTTTGTATAAGGCATAAACAATTGAAAATTGTCATTTAGGTACAATGACAATGTAAATACCTATTTATTTACTGTTTATTTGTCTGGGTCAAAACGCCCAATGCCGAAACTCGCGCAGTGATAAAAACACAAGATGGAGGGTCCACGTTCGAAATTCAAATACTATGTGTGTAACTGTGTAGATTTACAAAACATCTCGATATCCGTAGTGTGTTTTGTCACGATCGAAGTTACTTTTTTTTGTAGAGCAAAATGTTTGGTACATTTTCAAGCGATTTCAAGAAAAGGACGACGTTCTCAATTAGGTTGTATGTTTTTTTTTATTTAACCATTTAATAGCTTAACGCCAATCGGCAATTATTGTCATAATTATTGTATTATTTCTGACTACCATTTGTAAATTTATAATTTAAGATTGTATTGCATAAAAACCTACTTGAATTGTTAATATCAGTTATTTTATTTAATATCGAAGTTACTCAATCGATATTGATACAATTTTTATGGAACCAATTTGTATGTATTGTATAATAACCTTTCAGAAAAAAAAAGAATTATCCAAATCGGTTTAGATTTGATGGAGTTATAAAGTAACGAACATAACACATACAACCGAATTGTGAACCTTTTTCTTTTTGAAGTCGTATAAAAACGAGTTTCTTTTCTTGATTTATCTATACTTTTAGTGTCAATTTAAGGGCAGCTCGGTTTAATACTTTTTTATACCACGAAGGTGCCGATCAAGCATACAGAACGTCTGATGGTAAACGGTAACTGTAGCTTATGGACGCTGGCAACACTAGGGGTGTGTCACGTGCGCGTGTTGGTGTTGAGATCCTAAAGGAACCTTAATATACCTTTTTCAAAAAAAGCAAAGAGCCCATTCCACAATCTGAGCGTTTATGGAGGAAACATCTCTGAAATCGCACAGTACGTGGTCATTTAGATTCTATTCGTAGCGTGTGACGTTGAATTCTTTTATTCCCTGTTGATGGCGAGTAGGGTGATGATTCTGTACTAATATAATAAAGATGAAAGGTTTGTTTGTTTGTTTATTTATAATAGATAAACTTAAAAACTACTCAACTGATTTTAAAAATTCTTTCACCTATACAAAGCTACGTTATTAGCAGTAACATATACTATATGTTATTTTCTAAAATTCTATTTATCCGTGTAAAGTCAGGTCGGACCTCTAGTAATATATAAAACCGTTATTCCCTTATTCATAATATGTCAAATCTCTCATTAACCTATTTTAGCTATTAAACTGTTTTGTCTCTTTCTTTTATACAAAATTCCCAATTTGAAAGAGAGTGACAAAACAGTGTAATAGTTAAAATAGGTTTATAAAACATTTTAGTTTTTATGAATAAGGGGGTTAGATTTTAAAAGCTCAAAATAAACTCCGGGGGGCGATTAAAATGTTGAAGCTACAGTGCCCTACAATAAGCTCGCCCCGTGTACGAGTGCCCTAACTAAATGAAACGTAACCAAGTGTCCACATAGGAACGTCGACGACACTCGCCTATTTTTAGTCGCACTCAAGTTAACAAGATGACGTCTTGCGTTGCGCTCGAGTGCAACGAGTCAGGTTACCGAGTAGTTCTAGAACTGGAGCCTTTTAAAATAAAAATAGACATATATGTATGTATATTAATTAATACAAAAAATACGCATTCGAGTATTCTAACACTTTCATAAGGTTGACTGGGTGAGAATGCTTTTAGCATTAAGTTTGCTTCGTACAGGATCATGTACTAAGGAATATGTATCTAATTTTAATATGAAAGTAGGGGGGGGGGGGATGTTAAAAACGGGGAGTAGCATCTCTGTTTTTAATGCAATTTAAAATGACAAGCTACCGTCCCACTATTCGTAGACAGAAAATGGTAAGTCACCTATAGACATGAACAGCACCACTGACACAGAGAATATGTTTATAAATGACAACCCAGCTTGCACTACCGGTACACACTAGCAGGACATTAGTGAGGGATGAGGATAAAATGTACCTTTGAAGTTAATGTACCTCACCATTACATTATATTTATTTATAATTTAAAATAATTTAATCACAATTTCCATTATTTATATTATATTATTATTTATATCGTTAATATCTTTACTCATTCAATGACATTTAATAAATTAATTCTATTTTAATGTTTATCAAACACAAGGCATGCTGTGGTTGCCTATACTCGTAAATGTAAGAACAGTTAGATCTAATCTACCAGTGTATTGTACTGAAATGTTTCGCTGTATCTTATGTTGGTAATACTATAAATAAATAAATAAACTGACCTGTCAGACACAACGGTAGCGATGGTCACCGCCCAGTCTGAGCCGCACCAGCCCTGATCGATGACCGGCGAGATGTAATCACGCCACTTGGTCCTGCAATCGAATTCATTCGGATAGACGATGTTCTTGTCATATCTGATAGAGCCCATACGTTTCGTTTCCACAGTCAGCGGGAATGTACCTGTGAAGAGTATAAAATTTATTTAATTGTTTTATTTCATTAATACTTTATTGTAGACACTAATATTATAAAAAAAAAATATGACAGAGGTAAACAAATGTACAAAGGCGAGCTTAGCTCTAAAAGAGTTCTCCTCCAACATAACCTAAAGTGGAGGGGGGGGGGGAAGGGATTGTTAGTAATGGAGACTGAGAATCCCATTGCTAGCAATATACCCAACCAGGTCGACCTCTTCGCGGTTCTTCCTGAAAACTATCATGGTCGATACCTGATGAATTCATCATGATGGGCTAACTGGCCTGTTTTCATTCTCATCTATCACCCTTCACTGGTGCTCCACCAGAGTATCACGTTTGCACAGGCGGGGTTACCATACCATTTTCATCCAAAAAAAAAACCCAAAGTGGAGAGGAGCGTCAGCGGGCGTCAACGAGCGTCAGCGGGTAGAGCGGTGTACAATATTGTGACAATTTTCGAATTTTCAAACAAAGAACTAGACGAACTTAAGTTTATACATAACTAATTCTATTGCCATCATCATCATGTTAGCCTTTAAACCTCTACTGCTGAACACAAAACCTCCCCCTTGGGGGGTTTTGCCAGTAGTTGCTACGCTTTGGCAGGCAAATTGGCACCCGCAGTTAGGCTTTGGAGATGTTTTAAGAGTGACGCTGCTGTTTTTTTTTACAACAGTAGGCAAACGAGCCTGCGGCTCACTTAATGGTAAGTGACTACCGCCGCCCATGATCACTTACAACACTAACGGCATTGCAGTTGTACTGGTGGCCTTTTAAAAAGGAGTATATTCTTTTCTTGAAGGTTTTTTTTTGATGGGTGAAAATGGTATGGTAACTCCGCCTGCACTAACGGGATACGCTGGTGGAACACCAGTGAAGGGTGATAGATGAGAATGAAAACAGGCCACTTACCCCAACATGCTGAATTCATCAAGAATTAATTATAATAGTTTCTAGGGAGAACCGCGAGGAGGTCGACCTGGTTGGGTATATTGCTAGCAATGGGATTCTCAGTCTCCATTACTAACAATCCCTTTCCTCCCAAGCGAGTTTATTTGTTAGTGTCTTAACGGTTTAACCAACACTATGACGATGACTCTATATACTTCGTGTACACTTTATACACTAGCTGTAAGGGATCATTACCATCATCACCTGCAGCAGCTGTCCACTGCTGAACACAGATCTCCCACTATTGGGGGGTTTTGCCAGTAGTTGCCAGTCTAGACAAGCGGGTTAGAAACCGCAGTTAGACTTTAGTGATATTTAAAGAGGGACGCTGCTGCCCATCCCTCGACCATTATGTTCCCTTAGTCGCCTCTAAACATCCACAGAAAAGAAAAGTCCAATTTTATGCTACACGGAATAGAATGTGGTTAAAGGTATGAAAATAAAGGTTGTCTGGAAAAGATTGCTTAGCGATAAGGCGGCCTTTTGTATCATTTCTCACTAATATTTATTGTATTTGTTATTTCTCTTTTTACTTGGTGCAATAAAGTGTAAATAAATAAATGAGCTACTTTAATGGAAGGATAGGAGATAGGCTATTTTTATATATTTAGTCACGCGACCAAGGTCTTTATATATTTAGTTATGCGGCCAAAGTCGGAGATAAAAGGTAGTAAATAAATACATTGTTATTCGTAGATATAGTATCTTTAAATCTTTAGGTTCACATCTATGAACTCGAAAGTAGAAACCAATAATAGTTTGCTCACGAACTTAGCGATAAACAATATAGAATAGAATTGAAAGCACTATAATACAGTAGGTGAAGTGAAAGTAAGTACCTAAAGTTCAGACTTTCTCTAGACGCATTTTGAAAGTCAACTTTAAACATTAGACGTTAGAATAGTTAATACATTGCAAACTTAGTATTGAGTATAGACCTATTATTAAATTATTTAGTATGAAACAAATAGTATTTGCAAGCGAAATCAATTGCAAACAAACAATGAACCGCTTGGTCTATTTTAGAACAATTGGTTTATTTTCACTTAAGCCAGAAACGATTTAATGTTGAAGTTGTTATACTGAGAAGTTTCTGCGACTTCGGCTGTATAGTAGTCGAACGTAATTCGCCAAGACAATGAGATGAATTGATACTATCGATAGGCCCGGATTTACATGGTCGTTTTTTTTCCACAATAAAACAGCTACAGCCCATACTGTACGTTAATAATGTAGTTTATTTATTTATTCTTTATAGACTACAATAAAAGTTCTTTATTCACGCTTCCGCGGATTAAAAAATTGCGACCCAATTCCTATATTCGCGGCTAAAGATTTCTATATTCACGGATCTAATCGGTACATTATTATTAAAAAGGATTAGGTATTCTTTGTAAACGCGTCGGCACATAGACTGATAAAAAAGTAAAAATTTGACGCGACTGAAGTCAGTGATTTTTTTTTGAGAAGCAAAATTTGCATGTTTGTTAGAAAAATAATATAAATAACTCACCCAACTTATATTTAATGCCATCCTTCAATTTCTTCCCGTAGAACTCGCTGTAGTTGGCGGCTCTCCACTTCTCGTTGCCGTAATTCACGCCATTGATAACATCCTCGGAGATCAGGCACACGTCCTGTTCACAGCTCCATTGCACCTCCTCAGGTCTGTCTGACTGGATGACGCATTCGCTGTAACAAGAGAAAATATAATTGTTGATACAAATACAAAGCAATTTTATGCAAATAGACTTGTTTACTAGCTCTTTTCAATCGATTTAAAAAGAAGAAAATTCTAAATTCGTTTGTATTGTTTTTTTTTTCTCATAACTCCTAAACTGACTTAGAAAATTATTTTATTATCTGAAAGGATATACCTTTAGATTAGTCCTATATAAATTTTAATTGTAATAAGTTTACTTAATAAATACTTATAAAAATAAATACTCTCCATCCAAAGGTTGCCTGGAAGAGATCGCTCTTAGCGATAAGGTCGCCCATTGTTTTCTCATTGTGATTATTTCTAGTAATTATTTATATTTATAGTAAGTTTACTATTGTAATCTCTTGGAGGAAACAATAAAGAGTATCTATCTATCTATCTACTTTAATTATTAGATATTTTTAATAACAGTTTAAAAAAATTTATATGTGTTTTTTAAATAAGAATAAATGTTACACATTCAATTTAGAAAACGAGACTATAAAAAACTTATAGAGACTATAGAACACTAGCCAGCAAATGTTCTTAGCTCATAACCTGTCATGAATTGAGAAAAATAGCAATTGATGGTATATCTTTCGTCCTCTTTTTGCTAATTATATTTGCATTTGGGGGAAAGGGATTGTTAGTAATGGAGACTGAGAATTCCATTGCTAGCAATATACCCAACCTGGCTGACCTCCTCGCGGTTCTCCCTGGAAACTATCATGGTTAATTTCTGATGAACTCATCATGATGGGCTAACTGGCCTGTTTTCATTCTCATCTATTACCCTTCACTGGTGCTCCGCCAGCTTATCCCGTTAGCGCAGGTGGGTTACCATACCATTTCCACACATAAAAAAAATATATTTGCATAAGAAGAAAAGAGACAACCATATGGTTTTGTGTTTTTATTTTATCATTCCTTCTATGTAATTCCTTGTTCTTAGATTTGTATTAAAGGAAACTTATTCCTTAACGTCAATCCTTAATCACACATATTTAAATAAATATGTGTGATTGCTTTCAAATCTTGGCCTTTTTTGTGTATTTCTTAATCTACGCCCTTTTTTTTGTATTACCACAGATTAATATAAGCACTAGTTATTACGGAGATCATGGTAGGTATGGTAATATGAATTGCAATTTATGAAAATATATACAAGTTTGAATTGTTAGAGAGACTTGCAGCCTTATAAAGTAGGCTGCCGAGGTCTCATCAAGATATATTGTAAAATAATACAAAATTATCATAAAACATACTATGTTATAACAAATTATAGATTCCCCTTGAGGGCTTTTCAAATAGCTTGGTAATAACATAAATGATATGGTTAATTTATGTTTTTATGTGTGTTGTGATGGAGTTAGATTACTTGTGTGAAGGTGGCGCCATCTAGTATCAAGGTAGTTTTGTACGTTAAGGAATAAATTGAACACCTATTATGTCTATCGGGAACGGGGGAGAGGGGTGAAAAAACAATAAATTATATATATTAAAAAAATAAATGCAAATATATACACAAGGGAAAAGAGCAACCCTCTTATTGATTTTCAACCAGACAAGAAGGAAGAAAGAAGACGCCACGCCGACATACACAGATCGTGTATGTCAGCTTAAAAGCAAGTGCCTCCGGAGTTGAAGTTGGGGCAAAGGGGTATGCCCCGAGGCCCCTACCTCGCCCGCCCCCGCCACATGGCGGGCAATGAGAAGACCTGGATTGATTGAATAAAATGGATAAAAATAAAATAGTATATACACTATATACACTGGCGGGGCGCAAGTGAAAGATGATAAGTAAAAACGATGCAGCTCAGTTGGCCCATTCTCATTTCATTCATTCTTCACTCGTCGAAATCTTTATTATTATTTTTTTGTATGTTCCCCGACTACTGGTAGACGTCTGAGCCGATCCGAAATTTGTTCTTTTTTTATTGAAAGGGTTTTCACATTAGTTCCGTAAAAAATTTGGAAATAATTAGGTTCAGTAGTTTAGTTTTTAAATAGCAAAATAGATGATTTTTTAAATAATATTTAAATAATAATATTTGATTTTGGCACGATTAAAGTCGATTTTTTTTTGTGAAATATTTATTATAATCTTAAATTATAATGGATGAAAATGGAATGGTAACCCCTCTGCTATCGATATACGTTAGCAAGGCACCAGCAAGGGAGGAACCGCAATGGTTTCCAGAAGGAACCACATGGAGTTCGAACTAACAAGATTTATGGTGGGGGGAAAGGGATTGTTAGTAATTGAGACTAAGAATCCCATTGCTAGCAATATATCCAACCAGGTAGATCTCCTCGCGTTACCCCCTGGAAACTATCATGGTTAATTTCTGATGAACTCATCATGATGGGCTAACTGGCCTGTTTTCATTCTCATCGATCACCCTTCACTGGTGCTCCGCTAGCGTATCCCGTTAGCGCAGGCGGGGTTACCATTCCATTTACACCCATAAAAAAAAAACTCCCTTAGTCGCCTCTTACGACACCTATGGGAAAGGAATAGCCAAGAATAGAATAGAATAGAAATCATTTATTCAAATAAACTTACATTGAAGCACTTTTAAAAAGTCATTACATTTTTTTTAATTTACCGCTCGTTCGGAAAGCTGTCTCATCACAAGAAGAACGAGCAAGAAACTTGCGTGATGCTCTTTTAAATAATTTTATTATTATTTTACATTTTTAAGTTTAATTGTGTGAATACAAACCACCAATTAGCACTAATTCAATTAAATACTCAAAAAGAAAAAAAAAATTGAATACATAACCAACTGGTTAAACAATTAATAAGAGGAAATCAGTCATAGTGATTAGAGCAGACCAGTCCCTACAAGCAGCACCCGTTCACGAGTATGACGGATGAGCCAGCCATCACTGCGCTCGACCATATTTTAGGGAGCCCAATGACCCGGCCCACCACGCCGCCACAAGTCTGGACATTTTAGTGAGCATGACTACTCAAAACACTAGACCACGTCAAAGCTACTCACAATTGCCATCTGATAGTTATAGTATTCACATTTTACATAAGAATGCATGCGGCAATTAATACAAAAAACCGCTACGCTTTCATATTTCTAAAATTAATCAATTAAATCAAGAAAGCAATGAGAAAATAAAATTATAACGTTGTATGCTAATAAACTAATTATTTACTTGATATGTTGTCATCTATGAATTCGTCTATCCTGTAATAGGCTTTCTTACATAAAAATTGTTTAATATAAGATTTGAATTGCCTCTCTGTCAGATTTAATGCAGATTCCGGCAGTTTATTATAAAATCTTATGCAATTACCATAGAATGAATTACTGATTTTGTGCAGACGGCATTTAGGTAAAATAAGCTTATTTATATTGCGTAAGTTTCTACTTGTACAGTCTTTGAGTTTTTTAAAACTCGCTAAGTTCTTCCGTGTATACATAATATTTTCATAAATGTATTGTGAAGTAACTGTGAGGATATTTGAGTCTTTAAAGCACTGACGTAATGACTCTCTTGAACCCATACCATAAATAGAACGTATGGCTCTCTTTTGTAAAACAAATATAGTATTTATATCGGCTGCTTTACCCCACAGCAGTATGCCATAAGACATTATGCTATGGAAATAACTAAAATATACAAGTTTAGCCGTCGCCACGTCTGTTAATTGCCTAATTCTTCTAATTGCATATGCAGCAGAACTGAGTCTACTGGCCAATTTTGAAATATGGGGCCCCCATTGTAATTTCGAGTCCACTGTTATACCTAAAAAAACTGTATCATTAACAAAATTTACTATTTCGTCATTAAGCAATATAGTAAAAGTAAAGCCAAACAGGCTTATTCTATGCCAGGACCTTTACAGCAACGTCAGGGCTAATTTATTTGAGATTAACCACGTGGTTTGCAAGGGGGATCGTGTGTAAGTCGATCTGACCACTAGATAAAACGACCACCTCTAATGCGATACAGGAAGTTATTGGATGCACGTGACGTGACATAAGATAGTTCTCGTATTTATGCAGATATCATGTTCTATCCATTCTAAATTAACTATATATGATTCCCACGGTTCATGGGAATCACATATAATCAGATATTGGACTCGCTGTAATAATATCTAATTACAGGATTGCGTCCTATTAACATATTATATTGGTGGGATATGGTAATGAAATTACAGGGTATAGAGGCATAAATAAATAAATAAATATATATATATATATATATATATATATATATATATATATATATATATATATATATATATATATATATATGTTATATATCCACGTCTCTATAGGCAACGGTTATTACTCGTAGCCTATTAGCTTATTAGCCATTTTCAGTTACATAAAAACAAAATACAGACCTCATGTTTATCGAAAATTTAGATTAGATAGCCTTTTTTAGCCGACTTCAAAAAAGGAGGAGGTTCTCAATACAGTTGTTTTTTTTTTATTTCGTTTCTTCATAACACTATCACTTATAAACAGACACGAAAAATTCTTTTTTATCTGATTCCTTCCTATCGGATTGGTCTTAAACAAACGACTCCTATGGGGAAAATTATTGTTAACAATAGGGTCTAAATGTCCCAACCTCAACCTCCATATGGCACCCCATGGACGTTATCGTAATAAGTTATTATTGAATTCGTCAAGATGGGCCGACTGACCTGTTTTCATCCTCGCGTATCATCCTGATGCCCCGCCAGTGTATACCTGCTGATATGCACTATCACGAAGGCGGAGTGTTTGTTCTTTTGTATCAATATATTTCTGATAATCATTTCTTTTCAGTTGAAATTGCATACCGAACTGTGCGGTAGATTCATAAAAAGATGACTGTTCAAAAATGCTTATAACTAAGTGCACTTAATTTTTTTTTATACAACTTAGAATGGCAAACAAGCTGACGGCCCACCTGATGGAAAGTGGTAACCGTCGCCTATAAACATGAGCAGTACCATGGACATAACAGAATA